GCTTTGTTTTGGGCACACTTAGGAGCAGTTGATAGGTTGACCTGAGAGAACAGGTGGGTCTATAGGGGTGTAGCAGCTCAGAGATATAGGGAGGGGCAAGACCATTTAGGCATTTAAAAGCAAGTAAAATTATCTTAAAGTGGATCCTATAATGTACAGGCAGCCAGTGGAGTGAGGCTAAAATGGTGGAAATGTGCTCATGTTTACGTGTTCCAGTTAAAAGACTCGATGCTGTCTCAAAGTGCTGCCTCGAAAGAATTGGCTTTATTTTGGCCAGTTGCTTCAATTGAAAAAAGCTTGTTTTTAACGACTGTCCTTATCTGTCTGTCGAGCTAAAGGTCGATTTTAACCCAAAGGTTAGTGATCGTTGGCTTGATATGGTGATTCAAGGAACCCAGATCGAGATGGGGGTCCAAGTGGTGCCACCAACAAACATCACTTCTGTCTTACTTTCATTAAGAAGTTCAGAGCCATCCAGGCCTTTATGTCGTCAAGTTTCTTAAGTAATGGTCTGTCAGTTTCATTCTCTTTAAGAGGCACATAAATCTGACATACCATGCTTCCTAAATATGGAACCAAGCGGGAGAAAATAAAGAGAGAAGACAAGAGGGCCTAAAATTGAGCCCTGTTGGACCATGAGGACACAGAATCACCATAGCTGACACAGAAAGTTCTACCTTCCAAATAGGACCTGAACCATTTGAGTGCTATGCCCTTGATGCCCACCCACCACTGCAAACGATAGATCAGGATTTCATGGTCCACTGTGTCAAATGCAGCAGTCAGATCAAGAAGCACAAGAATAACACAATCCCCGGAGTCAGTAGCTAAAAGGATATTATTAAAAACTTTTAAAAGAGCTGATTTGGTGCTATGGAGGGTTTTAAAACCAGATTGGAAAACTTCACGAACATTGTGCTCTTCCAAGAAGGCCATTGCATTGACTGCAAACTCTCATTTCAAGGATTTTTGACTAAGATGTGCCAATTATATGATAGTATATAATAATATAATTAATTTAAAGTGGCTTGTTATTCTCTACTAGAATTACATACCTGGCATTTTAGAAAAGGCTTTGAAGCAATCTTTAGACCATGACATTGGTACATCAAATTTAGGGAAAATCTAATTTAACAGTTAAATAAAATTGGAATTTTAGTATATTTTTTTAACAAAATTAAATTTCAACAGAGTTTAGTTGATGATAAGTCAAATCAGTCTTTTAGGTTTTTACTCATGACCTTTGTATAATGCTGGCTGCGTTCCTGTCTGCTGACATAAATAATGGCTTTTCTGTAGCTTGTATATGACAGACAGAAACAGTTATTGAAAAATAGTTCAATAAGTATAGATGAATTAGTCAGCGATGACGGGTAATTTTAAATATCAAAAATTAAATGAATGTCCCCACAATACGGATGACTTAATTTTTATATTTCAGTATAGTTTAGTAGATCTTAAAATTTAGTTTTTTATAGTTATTAATACAAATGTCCAGATCATTACATATCTTTGTTAGAACTCTTTAATAACCGAATGTAATGGATCTTTATAAACATTTGTTTGTTATGTGTTTATGTTATAGCCTATAGGAATATAGGCTTATGTCCGTCCTTTTGAAATCTGAAATATCTATCAGTATTAGCCGTAACAAACTGTATACTTGTGCATGTACAACTATGCAGGGGTGTCTTTTGCAGGTATGTTGAGGTTTTAACTGTTTAACAATCAGGACTAACGGGTTAGAGGAAAAATGTAGCAAGAAGAACTGGGTCTAAAATCTACTTGTACTTTGAGTTACAGTGTTTCATTGGAAATGGTAAAAATCTGTTTGCATAGATGTCTTAAAGTGTGGGGGCTCTGTTAAGTCTTTCATTGAAAAAAGGTATCTCAAAGTTAGTGGGAATGTAAATATGGATGCCATGACCACAGATGAACGTGTGTGTAAGGAGTGGGAGCTGTTTGTGAAAAGATGACCTTGTGCAGAAAGCCTGTTTCCTCTCAGAAGCAGATGAATTGCTGAATTTTCCGGACAGACCTGCCTGGACACTTCCTCAGAAGCTTGTGATTGGTGCTCACTGAGGATCTATTGTCATAGTCCACTTTCTCACACTTACCACAGCCCAAGCCATGTGTATTTTAAAATGTTCCTATAAAAGACACAAATAGCTCAGTAAACTAAGGCTTTAGAACACCTCTTTTTAAATCCAACTCTTTACTTATGCTTTTATGTAGTATTTTTCCAGGGTCTGACTGTTTCTTTTTCCTGGAAGGAGATAGTTTGTGGCTCAGAGACTGCTGCCTGAGAGAGGATGTGTTATTCAGTCAGTGCCGGGGCTGATGTATAATCTCACTGGAACACAGAGTGGCCTTTCACACGGACTTCCCCTGTGCTCTGAAGCTGTTTGGCCTGTAGTAGTCTCTTGCCAAAGCAGTCAATACAGCTCTCTGCCTCTCTGCTGTGCCCAGTGTGTTTGTTTGAGTCCTTTGTCACGGCCTCTGTGGATGTCATCCTGTCAGTACGCCTGGCCTCTCCAGGGTGACTCGGCTTTATCCTCCCCCAGCTTCCGGAATCCCGTCTTCCTGTTTTCAAGCTGTGGTGAACCAGTTTTGTAGCCTCTTCTTAACATAACTTACTCCACATTGCTAGACATGTCTTGCCTTTCTTTTTATAAATGCTGTTCGAGATGAGATCGTCATTCTGCAAGCTAGCTGCCACATCCTTGACGATGATAATGATGATAGTAATGATGATGGTGAGTCAGGGGTGGCTGACGGTAATTACAAGATACAGAGCCTTTGGATCCTTATATTCATGATGTCCTAAAGTCTGAAATCACAGGGATGACAAACACAAGTTATATTTCTAACTTGTTACACTTGGCACACGCTCGCTGTAAGCATAGTGTAAAACATGTGGGTCTCTAGTCCCAAGCTGAACATTTTTTTCTGCCCATTTCACGTATTTTCTGGAAGAACTGTGCTGCTTCCCAAGTTTTGAGTCCTGTTTAATTAGTATATTCATAAAGTATACTCAGCTGAAGGAGACACACTGTACAACAAGGCTGGCATCAGCAGAACACGTGTGTGCCCATGCAGTTTCCCAGGCTTATCCACTAGCCTGGCATGAGCCCTCGGTGGCTGGCACAGGCTGTGTGGTAGATTTGTGTAGGTCACAGGTTTATGAAGGTATAAACAAAGAGGATTTGATATAAAGACAGCATGCTGCTTAGTGGTTATTGTCAATTGGCTGTTCTGAAGTGTCAGACATGTATGTCCCTTTTCAGTCTGAGAAGAACATTTTTTATTTTTTTTACATTTTTTACATTTATTTTTATGCTTAATGTACAGGTGGTGGACAAAATAATACCAACAACTTACTTACGTACAATATAATGCAATTCAGTCATAGCGAGATTAACATGCTTGCTGACCCTGGGGCAAGAATTAGCTTTATTTTAGTTGTTTGGCTGTTTATAGGCAGTGGAGAAAGCAAGCTGTAAACACAACTTTTGACATATTATCACCTTATAATAATTATATCCACCAGACATAGAACAAATTAGCATATATTTGGAGTCGTGTTTGTGTCCACTGGATAAACACAAGCCCAATATTCACCTTTTAGCTCTGTTTTTGGTCTCCACCCACTCCTGAGGGAGATAGCTGGCTCTTTAGCTGTACGCGCTTCACTATGTGCACCAGCTAGTTGCTAACTTTGTCTGTCTGCCGTCTGTCAGATCGTGTACACTGGTATTATGTGAGCTTTTTCACTAAAAACAGATGCCTGCTGTGACTGGAAACTAGATTGATTAGAGTAGTGAGGCTGAACTAAAACACTAAAGTTGGGGGGCATGAAATCAAAACAATGAGCTGGAAGACGTTAAAATGCTTCGTAGAACTAAAGGGGACCTGCGGGGTTGGTTAACCATAAAACAAAAAAATTGTCCATTAAAAGTTCAACTTTTGCTGCATTGGGCTGTGATTACCTACCTGCTGCTTCTGCTGCGCCATTATTTTATGTTATTGTCTCCTTCTTTAAATCCCGCCTTCTAGTCAGATGAACTTTGACCTACACCGAGAACCGCGCTCACTCCACACCACTCATTCCCTCGCTCACGCCATGCCCCCTGAGCTACAGCCCGCAGCCCCAGTGTGTTGACCGCTCTGTTTTAGCTATGGAGTGATGCATCTTACCTCTACAAGATCTTTGTTGGGAGTTGCACATGTGCAGTTCCTAGTTAAGGACTACTAGCCAATCAGAAGCAGAGTAGGGCGGGTCTTGAGAAGCCGGTAAACACGGCTTCGGTTCAGCTGTATATATTCCACTTACCAGCTATGCAACATTGACTGGAGCAAGAGTTTCAGAGAGGACTTTATCTATCCATAAAGTTATAACTGAGCTCTGTCTCCACATCACAGTAACAACTTTATGTCCATTGCTGCCTGGAGGTTAGCTAGTGTTTGGAAGGGAGAGGAGAGACAGCAGGCGGACCTCTTGTCACTATGTGCTGCAGCTCAGTGTGTTTTTCCACCAGTGTATTTGAGGGCGTGTTGGACTAGCCACTAGGCGAGCATTATGACGCGCATTTTGCTGTGACGTCACAGCAAAGTGGTAGAAAAGCCTGGCCTACAAACGAGCTGTTTTCAGGCAGTTCAGAGGAGGGAAAAAAACAAAAAGCATAATATAACCTCTTAAATAATCTACACAGTGGTAGCATGTATTACATGCTTCTTCAATTGGATCTTGTTTTATTTTACAGGAGGTTTCTGTCTTCCTAGGCTTAAAATGATAACATATACTGGATCCATGCTCTGGCATCTTAACAACTTCCTCAGTTTTTACCTAGCTTTGTTAGCCCCGCCCCCTTTAATCTCCGTTGACCCAGTATTAGAATACCAACGGAAAATGATGTTTCAGTTTGCTGCATTCTCTGTGTTTACTACATGCCTTAACAGTTTAATGACACCATGTGACTACTGTCCTTTGTTTCTCACAGAGGCTCCCTATAATGAAACCCCTCCGTCATATGGCTATGACCTGGAGCACTCAGAAGATCACCAGCCACGCCACCACCCTCTATCCTTCACTGGATCTCCGTCGTCCTCACCACGACTCCACTCTAAGAGCCGGAGCAGCCGAGACACCCAGTCCTCCTGCTCTCTGGAGTCCACGTTGTCGGTAATGTTACTGGGTCAACTCCCACCAACATGTCTAACACGTTAACTGTGTCTCTCAGCTGGCAGTGCTGCTGCTGTTGCTGCTTTCTCCTCCTCCTTCCTCTGGCTGTCTGCTGTTGTTCTCTGGCCCTACTGCATTGTCCTTCACTGTCCTCTCTCCACGCACCATCCAACACTTTTAGCAACTGTGGCTTCTCATTCTGTGATGAAAAGTTGCTATTACAGTGCCTGGCATTGCTTTTTCTACTGTCTGTGTGTTGGTGTAAAATCAACCCCAACATTCTTCCTCAACTTATAAAACAAAGGCAGATCATTTGTTAGTTTCTTATAAACCTTGTTGTTCCTGTTGCAAAGATGATATTGCTTCTTGTTATTCCACTCCTGTGTGGTGGTGCTGCATGTGCATACAAGTGAAAAATATACAGGAGACACTCTCATATTCTGTTTTTTGTTGGTTTACACAGCTTCCCCTTCATGTATTGTGCTATTAAACAAACCACTAGATCTCCTGCAAAATCTGACCAGAGTCCAGCAATGTCACATGTCATGTACTGGCTGCCAGTTTTATCAGCAGTTGTTCAGATTATTTAGTAACTACACTATTCTTTCAAAATTAATTTTGTAATGCTAGTCCAAGTGTATCGATTTCACAAAAATAATATATCCCCTTCATTTAGTATATTTATATACTAATATTTGCTTCTATTTTAAAGAGGCTCACATGTGACTAGATGTTGAATCATCATCCTGGTCAAGCACATTAGGTGCAAAGCAGAGCAAATAATTAAAATGGAGTATTTAAAGGAGTAAACGGACACTCCGGTGATTTAGTATTACATTTCTGCAAAGTTTGGAAACTTGCGAGAGACAGATTGAAAAAAAGAATGGTCAAAGTCAAAGCCACAGAGAACTGATATTTTTACTTTTAGTTCCTAGGAAGGGGAAAGCTTCAAAAACACAGGATCCTACGTTTCCCATAATGCATCTTGATATCATCTGTCGCGAGATCCTGCCTGCATGATAAATGCCTACAGCTTTCCAACTCTCTGCCATTATTTTGTAACACAGGCTCTCTGTAACAACTTTGTAGCCTCTATCCCCAATCTGCAACACAAGACATCATCAGGGTTATTTTGTCAGTCTTTGGAAAGCTCCTCCGGCGCCACAGAAGGCATTTTACAACTGTTTTAACAGGCTGAGAAGCACTGTCTGTGTCGAGTAAACTGAACATCATGTGTAAAATCAGTGGAGTACCCTTTAGAAAACTACAGAAGAAGTGCCCTTCAGCCAGTCAGCTGAGGAATCCAGAAGCCAACAATGACATACACAGAGTTGACCATACAGCTCCCAGATGGGAGTGCTTTTCAGTATGAAGCAGGGCATTTCTGAAAAACACCATACATGCTTAGCAAACGCACTGTGGGCGAACAGATGTTAAAAAGAGAACCAGCTCCCCTCCCCCTCTGCTCTGTTCCTGTCCATGCTATGGTATTCCTATCCTGTGATGTTACACTTGGTGATCTTCAATGCTTAAATCATTCGTTGGGGGGGGGGGCTCTCTTAGCATACAGTAAAAAAAATCTAGCTAATATAATTGCAGAGCTTGAAACAGCACTTCTCAATGCTCCAATGAGTTTCTGACTGACATTTTAGTCTGCACCAGGATGAGTGATAATGACTGATGACCTGTTTGGAATAACAACTCCTGGACTAAAACACATTTGTCTTCCTTAAGATGCTAGGAGTCTCGGGTGCAGGCCTCTTGGAATGCAAAACTCCTACAGAGTTTAATCAAATCTGGTCTGTCCCTAATCCCACAACAACAGTATGTGCTGGCGGGGGCTAGCAGAGGTGTCTTGGTGGTTTATTAAATGTGAATGAATGTAATTCCTTCATTGTTTTCTCTCTCCACCATGTTTGTATCAGGTGGAGCTGGACCAGGAGAAGGGGCTGGAGATGAGAAAGTGGGTCCTTTCAGGAATCCTGGCCAGTGAGGAGACCTACCTTAGCCACCTGGAGGCCCTACTGATAGTATGTGTAACACACACAAAATAATTTCCTGAGTTGGGTGCAATTCTCTAGACAAAAAGCTATGATTAAAATTAGTTTACAAAAAAATGCTAGCTTCAGCTAGCATCTTATGTATTTTTCTGTTCTGTATGTACTTTTCTTAAAGGTTTTGTGTTGTATTTCCTTTTAAAGCAATACTTTAACTTCTGCAAGAAAAGATAACACATTTTTCCACTTACATATGAAAAGTTGAAATCCTAAGGAACACATCACACAATTTATTCCATTCGGAGGGTTTGCTACCTTAGCATTACTTTCGCTTAAATGACCAGTAGCTTATGGTGGCTAATGTTAGCTAACTTGAATCTTTTGAAATAAGAAATAACACAGTCTTCCTCTTGCAAATGAAAGCTTAATTCATAACTTAAGTGATAAAACACACGCTGACAGAGTCTGAAGGGGTAACTTATGTTAGCTAATGTTACTATATACTATATTTTAACATTCACCATTTTATTAATTTCTGCTTGTGATCACAGTGGCCGCTGCTCCTAGAGAGTTAAGCCTGGCTTTCACTTGTTACACGCACACACAAATATAATAAATATTACAAAATAATCTTCTTAAGGGGTGAGACCATTGTACTTGTTTTTAAGGAAGTTTAGCTTGTTTCAGCAGTGTCTTTTGCCCCTTGTTGTGTTTGTGGCAATAGAATTTAAACTGTGCTATTATTTCATCTCACTGGCACATGTTTTCTGTTGAAGATAAGCCTGAATTACTTATTGGTTATTTTTTCATACAGTACATTCAGTAACTGTTCATATGGACTGTGATCATTTATCCAGCCCATGAAGCCTCTGAGGGCCGCAGCCACAACTTCCCAACCGATGCTGAGCATCCAGCAAATAGAGACCATCTTCTTCAAAGTTCCAGAGCTTCATGAGATCCACAAGGACTTCTATGATGCTCTTCTGCCCCGAGTCCAGGACTGGGGCCACCAGCAGTGTGTGGGGGACCTCTTCCAGAAACTGGTATGGTGATGATATTTTTGTTGCTTCAGTAAGACAACCAAGGAAACAAAAATGTTCAAGACGAGTATGTGAAGTGTTTTGTTGACGTTATCTCTGCTGTCATGAATAAGTGTGTTAACACAAGTACACCAGGTAATCCATTAATGTTCCATGTGTTTAAATCACATTAACACAAATTTTATCAACCATACCTCAGGAAACTCTAGATTTTTTATGGTTAATATTTAAAGACATAATTTTAGAGGATAACATGTCATGACAATGTTTCAGAGCAACAAAAACCTGTTTCTCCACTAATGACATCTTGAACGCAGCAGAACGTCATCAGCCAATAGAATAAACAAGGAAATCTGAGAGCAGTGGAAGTATCTGATGAGCTTAACTGAGTGAAATATTGCGATCATTTTAACTTTGAACACATGTGTTTTTACAGTTTGGGTGTTAATTTATTACACATAGTTGTGTACAGTATGGCAATCCCTTCAGCTGATTTAAACCCTTCTTTGGATAAAAAGACCAAGCATTAAATAACATGAAACCTCACAGCATTAAATTGTATGTTGGTTTCTGATCAAACAGACCACCATTCGTCAAGTCAGTAACTTTCAGAAACTAATTATAGCACTCCTTAAATGTCATGCCTTGATCATTAATGATAGATAAAAGAGGGGAGACTTTCAGGGGAAAAGGTGGGAGGCTGTTTGTAATGCTCAGTGGATATTGCAGTGCACATGTGAGTAGACTGCCTGGAGTCATCTCCCGGCCAGATAAAAGGCTCACTTCACCACATTACAGGCAATAAAGGAGAACAAAACGCTATAGGAGGTCGCTGAATAAGAGCTACCTCAGTGTTTGCTGTTGGATGAAAAACACACACATACATACATGGATTTATATCTAGACATGTGAGAAAATACTGAGTTGTATCAGTTTCCCCTGTAATACTGTTATGCCAACTCAAGCCTGAGCATAGAATACGGTGACACTGCAAAGCACGCAGTGGAAATCACAGACAACATCGAGTAAGTAACATCTATCTTCTGTGTTACAGAGTAGATCTAATCTGTACTCTCCTTGTGCGCTGTAGGCCAGCCAGCTCGGAGTGTACCGGGCCTTTGTGGATAACTATAAGGTTGCTGTGGAGACGGCAGACAAGTGCTGCCAGGCAAATGCTCAGTTTGCAGAGATATCTGAGGTATGTAATCACGCTATGCACAGCAGGACAGGTTTTTGATGTTGTACAGCTGTCCCGGACAAGTGATGACAGGGCGGTTTTCAGCAGTCCTCACTGTGTGTAGAGCCACGCAGCTCTTTACAGTGGTGCTGATTGTTTTAATTGCGCTGTGGGGCAGTTGCGATTTAATGGGCGTATTTTTTCTCACTATTCCCTCCGGTGTTATCTTCCTGCCAGAATCTCAAGGTCAAAAGCACAAAGGACTGCAAAGACCAGTCGGCCAAAAATTCACTGGAAAGTGAGTACTGAGTGAAATGAATGGCCAGCCTCCACATTAATCAATATTGCTATAAGTAGTTGAGCTGTGACTCGGCCTGTTGAGCTGATTCTTCCTCCTCCACAGCTCTTCTCTACAAACCCGTGGACAGAGTGACTCGCAGCACACTCGTTCTGCATGTAAGTCATTCTGCATCTAACACAAATCCGTAGCAACGTCTTGTCTGCATAAAGAGAGTTTGGATGATTGAATTTGTCAATCGTTTCTTATTCTAGGACCTCCTGAAGCACACGCCCTCCAGCCACCCGGACTATCCGTTGTTACAGGACGCCCTGCGCATCTCTCAGAACTTCCTGTCCAGTATTAATGAAGAAATCACCCCACGTAGACAGTCCATGACCGTTAAGAAGGGAGAGGTCAGTGTGGAAAGCTGAGTCACTGCATCGGCTCAGGGTTATACTAATGACTTTGTGACTAAACACTTTTTTCAAACAAGTGTGCTCAGGCCCGCTGAAATCCAATTGCAAATAAAATGTGGTTTTGGTAGATAAATCAACAAGTGTCAGCTTCTTTAAGTGAGACAAAAACGTGACTGACTCTGGCTTTGCTGTTTATTCACCAAAATACATTCTGTCAATTCTGTTTTCCTGAATGAAGGCCAGGTTGTTGTTGTTATTGTTGTTAATATTCAGCAACGGTCTGGTTGGAAGAGAAATACAGATGAAGAATAGTTACAGCTTTTTCCCTTTGTGGAGCACATTTTCATTTTGCCAAGGACAAGTTCTGTGGTTTTTATGGTGTGGTGACACAGCGATGAGGCCTGGCACCCATTTTTGATGGTCTTCCATCTCTATAGCGTCTAGGAGCACTGAGGAGAATTGAGCTTGTTTTGTATGCAATATTAGTAGCACTAAAGTATCTTTCGAAATGACTGAAAACGCAAAACTTAACAAGAGCGGTGCTTTGAGCTAAATTGTAATATCACAATGAGAATGCTAACATGCTGATGTTAGCAGGTTTGATAATGATGAAGGAAAGCTGAGGCTGATGTGAACGCCACTGGTAAATACATAAATTTCACCTGATGATGGCATTAGATGCAAAGTAAAAGGATGACCAAAGTTATGACAGATGCTCCTGAGGAGAATGTATGTGAAAAATTGCATATCAATCCATCCAATAGTTGTTAGATATGTCAGTCTGAACCAAAGAGGTGGATCGACTGACAGCCTGACATTGTCATGCATGGGTAAAACCTAAAGGGAATCGGGCTACTGTGTTGCTAAAGTTCCTGATTGACAGAACACTTGATTATATGGACTTAACGTTTGTTAAATGAACATACTGTACAGTATTGTACAACACTTAACTTATTTGATTTTCTGACTTAAACAGCAGCATTGTGGAATTGAGGATTCTATGTGCCCCTGTACTTATCGTCATATCTTGACTGTTGACGGTAAAAAGCTCAGAGCACAAGGTGTCTGGAAGCTACAATAAACCCAGAGGGTGAGTCAGGTTGTTGCTGACTCATCTCAGCCTGTCTGCTTTAGTTGTGAAGGAAGTGAAGTGTAGAGGAAGCTCGTAACAAAGCAGTGCAAACACTGGAGGCAAGCGGTCTCTCTGTTGCAAACCAGGAAAACCTGTCAATTACCGCCGCGCTCACTCCCATCCTTCCCTGTCGCAGTGTCAACTCTGCTTCCCAGAAATGACCTGCAGCACTTCTAACCAGCCTTCTGCACTGGGTGTGTACTGACGTACCCGTGTTTCCTGACCCCTCGGCCCCCCCACACACCACACATCTCAGGGTTCTTATTCAGATGAACTGACTGAGAACTTCCTGTTTTTTCCTGGGAACAGGGTGGGATATTAAATCAAAGAAAGTTCTTGGGAACAGTCTTCTGTAAATTGTCTAGGAAGTCTGAAAAACCACAAGGAGATTGACAGATAAAAAGCCAGCACATGACAATCAGTTGAAAATACCAGTTGTTGTTGTTGTACACGATCAGCTCTCTACTAAATTTGCACCCAGTGTTGATGTTTTGCACCATGACTGCCTGTAATTACTATGACCATTTAAACCCATGAGTTTGGTTAGCTTCACCTCTTGTACATGCCTCACGGCTCAACGTCTCATTATAGTACATAAAAAAAACTGGAGCAGATTCCAGTGTCAGGAGGGTGTGAGCACTGTGCAGTTCCAGCTCTCTCGTTTTTCCATTGGATTATTGACTATTTGTGGTCACGTTTGTGTCACAAAACAATAAGCGGATGTCACCGTTTTTCGAAACCAGGACAATACTGAACTTGTTTGAGGACCTTGCCAAAACGCCTGCAACCAGCCAGCACTGGACTGGAGTATCCAGAGAACAGAATAGGAAAACCCTGCCACAGTAATTTCCTTGTTTTTGTTGAGCTGTGGTTGGTGTGGGATGGCAAAGTCTCACATGGGCAGTGTCACTGTAAACAGCCTCGGCCCAGAGGTCCAAAGGTAGAAAGGGAATTTAGATGCACGCTGCTGCAGGAAGAGCTCGTGCCATCACATCCACCAACCTCAGGCTGGTGGAGGATTAAAACAAGAAACATTACTAAGTCTTCACAATATGTACCATATACTAATTGTCAGACTATACTTTTTTAGCAGTTAGGATACAAAAATAACATACTTAAGAATTTTATACCAAGTGATACAATACCTGAGACATTGGTTGTCATTCAAACTTCAGTTTTCATATGTCAGTGTAATTTAAACTTTAAACTCAAACATGTTTTCTTAAAATTAATATACAAATTATTTGTTTTCAAATTCCTTTGTGCATTGCATTGAGAATAGTGTCCATCAACAGCTGCATTCGAGTATACTGAACTTTTCCAGTGTGAACACGCTACATACTCGCAACTTACTTAGAATCAGTATGCGGTATGGCACTGGGAAACAGCAGTCTAGCCTTTCTATTACACTGTACTTAGAGATGGCAGTGCTTTGATCAAAATGCTAATGTCAGGATGCTAACATGTTCACATGATAACATGCTGATGTTAAGCAGGTATAATGCTCACCATTATTTGAGAAAAGTTGCTAAACATACTGTGCAAATTGATCGATAACACAAAAATCTACAGCCAAGCTAGCGGCTCTGTTAGGTTGTACTTGGTGCACAATGGTGATCTGAACTAAATGCTTTGGTGAGGATGCTAACATGCTCACATTGACAATGTTAACCATCTTAGCGTAGCACAATATACAGTGATGGCAATGACATTAGTTTTGCAAGTAACTGGTCATAAACCAAAGTCTTGGACAAATTAAGATGTTGACCTGATGATGGTGCAAGATGAAAAGTCATGGGATCACCAAAGCTCATCGTGAGGGACCAAATCGTTATGCCTCTACAGTTCAGAGATCATCAGTGCATCATTATATCTGCTGGTGGGTGAAAAAACATACTGCATACACTTACTGCCTTGGTTTGGTCACATCACAAATGATTTATTGTTATGTTATTTTGTTGACTTCTGCTATGAGGTTGGGTAGCATTCATCCAACTGCAACACCGCAGGCTGTACTATAAGTACAAGCATTGTTTGTGAACCCCAAATTAAACCATTTCAAGCTGAGTGTCTGTGTAAACCATAAAATTGATATTATCATCAGTTCTTAGTATAGCAGTTATTTGCTGTTGGTGTACCAACAGCACCTTAATTCTCACTCAAATTTAGAAGAAAATAAATAAAATAAGATTATTGAGGGTGCATTTAAGACAAATGAGTTATATTCTGTGTGTGTAATGATGTGATTTCTTGTTTCCCGTTGGCAGAACCGCCAGCTGCTGAGGGATCGCTTCATGGTGGAGCTGGTTGAAGGTTCCAGGAAACTTCGTCACGTCTTCCTCTTCACCGACCTGCTGCTCTGCACCAAGCTGAAGAAACAGGCTGCAGGGTGAGTTTGAGTGGGCGTCCAGTCCGAGGTTAGAGATGCAGGCTGTGACCCGGAAGATCCACAGTGAGATAAAGGTTATAATTGGGAAGTTTTAAACAATCATTATACACACAACTTGTCCTCCAACAGGAAAGGGCAACAGTATGACTGTAAGTGGTACATCCCACTGGCTGACCTGACCTTCCAGACCATCGAGGACTGTGAGTCCACCCCCATCCCTCTGGTCCAGGATGAGGAGATTGATGCCATGAAGATCAAAATCTCCCAGATCAAGAACGAGATCCAAAGAGAGAAGGTTAGGGTACACAGATTGTAAACGCACACCTCGCCAACACAGAATACAAGGAAAACCGTTCAACATACAGGTTATGATTTATTACTTTTATTAGTGAGGAAGGAACTGCCCTGTAGAAACAACAGAATAATGACAGCGAAGCCTGAAGACTAAAATGGGGAATTTACAGATTAGCACATGTGATTACAACAAATGTCTAGACATCATGTCCTGAATTATATTAACCCTGGTACTGATGATCTGTAGAGAACCACCAAAGGACCCAAGGTGATTGAGCGACTGAGGAAGAAGTTATCAGAACAAGAGTCTCTGCTGCTTCTCATGTCACCCAACATGGCGTTCAGAGTGGCCAACAGAAACGGCAAGGTGAGTCAGGGGATATTTAAACCTGCAAAAAAAGTCCACTGTGCTCAGGTAGATAGATGAAAGAAATCCTTTTGGAATATCTTGAACCATCAGTAAACACTTTGTAATTTACTTTCTGCTGCCCCCTGCTGTTGACAAGTGTGACATTACACCATGAGGGTGCGGAAAAATACAGTATATTTTCCCTTTATTTCTTCCAGGGCTTCACATTTCTCATCTCTTCGGACTATGAGCGTGCCGAGTGGAGAGAGATCATTCGCGAGCAGCAGAAGAAGTGTGAGTTTTCTTGGCACCTTCTGTTAAGATACTCAGTATTATCATAACCATTGTAATGGCATATTTGTGTGACTTGCATTTACCATTAACTGTGTCCTGCAGGTTTTAAAAGCTTCTCTCTGACCTCTCTGGAGCTGCAGATGCTCACTAACTCGTGCGTGAAACTCCAGACTGTTCACACGATCCCAATGACCATGAATAAGGAAGGTAAGGTTCAATTTGTGTTGTACTTTTTAGGATTTAATATGCATTTTAATATACCGGCAGTTTTGTATTTTACCTTAACCCTCATAATCTGAACGCTACCCTCCACAGATGATGAATCTCCTGGTTTGTACGGCTTCCTAAATGTCATTGTCCACTCTGCATCAGGGCTGAAACAGAGCTTAAGTAAGTGGCTTTTTCTGCTGTTTTTCATTATAAATCATCTCAGTGATAATTCTAGATGTCACATCATCCTGTTTCAGTCCAGGCTCATCTGTTGTACATGCCCGCTCTCTCTCTGTCTGTGCTGCGGCTGTCAGCTGGGAGGGCAGCTGCAGGGCAACAAGGGGGATTAGCCAGGAACACTGTGTACAAACCACCTCAAATATGTCTTCCTCAAATCACTGCCTGCTCAAACTCATACTTTGTGCTCTTTGTCACTAAAGGTAGTCAGGCAATAGTAATCATCAGTGGCATGCTTCACCCAGTGGGGAGTCCACTTCTCCTTGCTATTTCTTAAGTTACTGAGTCAGGAACATTTGAAGAGAGAGAGTTGTGGTCGAGCCAGCATGTGGTTGCAGCAACAAAGGCCTCATGCATTACATCATGCGGACATGTCTCAACCAGAAGAATCTTTAGTTTTTAGTTTTATTTTGATTCAACAATTAAAACTGCTTCTGCCCACTAGACCTATACTGCTCTCTGGAGGTGGATTCCTTCGGCTACTTTGTCAACAAAGCCAAAACACGTGTGTACAGAGACTCTACAGAGCCCAGCTGGAACGAGGTGAGAGTGCAAATCACAGTGGAGAAAGCGACTGAGTGAGATCCTATCCACTGCTGTGTATCTTTAAAAACAGGCAATAGAGCTCTGTGTGTCCCCTAAACGTAACTGTATGAAATTAAAGCATATCAGTTTTGAAAAGGTCCATGGATGTTCACTGGATAAAAGTGAAGTACATTGTTGTGCATCGGCCCGAAGCCAACAGTAACACGCCTTTGCTGTTTCTACTCAAGGAGTTTGAGATTGAACTGGAGGGCTCTCAGACTCTGAGGCTGCTGTGCTATGAGAAGTGCTACAACAAAAGCAAGCAGAGCAAAGAGGACGGAGAGATCACAGACAAGATCATGGCCAAAGGACAAATAAAGGTATGGCCAAAAAGGACAACCCTGGATCAAATGCTTCCAAATGCCTCAACAAATAATTGTTTGTGTTTTAGGGAAACACCTGGGTTACGGGTTAACACACCTGGATTATTGTGACTGTGTCAGTTTTCCAATTTAAGTCTGAAAAATACTAGATTTTTAAGATCCCAACAAATATCAATATTTGAGAGTTTAAAAAAATGCTATAACAATATAAACTTTTTACATAAACTTTTTGGTAAATATTATTTGAAGTTGGTTATTAAAAATTACGATCAAGATACTGTATTACTGAGTGGGACATTTTACACTTGGCAAAATGCTAATACTGTTTCTGAACTACCTAAAACAACAAGAGATTGCAGTACACTATGGTGTATGTGTGGCATTATATATCTTATATCTGTTCTAGATTCTGGCTGTAACGTTATAATTAATAATAAGTGTACTTTCCAAAATGGCAAACTATTCTTTTACTGCTAATCACAGAACAGTAAAACATGTTGCCTTTTAAACACAATATTATGAAATATTTGCCAATTCTTTTGTGAACATTGGACATCTTATACATCATACTGTATCCTATATGGCACCAAAGCTGAAAGAGCTTAAAAAGATAAAAACTAAAAAATAGCTAGAAATCAATATAGACTCTGCATGACCCCAAATGTATACAGTTCCACAGGAAAGAACAAATAATCCTTGTGGATGTGGAGTCTTGCTCCCTCTATTGATTTCAGTAAATCCACAGTGGTGGCTTATTTGAACTGTTGACCAGAGGACCTTCTTTTGCTAATCCTACCCTTTGGGGCCCTTTGCTGTCACTTCAGGGCCTGATATGGTGTTGTGACACAGGGCGGATTAAATTTTGGGTTGACCAAATGTAGCCGTTGGCAGTACTCCAGACTATGACAGAGGAGAGAGAGACAGCGAGCTCTTTGATCAGCCAGTGAAGGGATTTCCCTGATGGACACGTGGGTCAAAACACTCTGGAGTCTTAGAGGAAAGGAGCATGTGCATGCCTGTATCCTGAGTCAGATACTTGCCGTGTTGTTCAGAAGCCTGGTTGTAGGTCATCTGTCAGGTCACTTTAATGACCTGTGGTGTCAGGTTGGCCTTTCTGCTTGCTTTGTTGATGGCTACATCAGTGGAATGGAAACTGTCTGAGTGGGCTTATGGTCTAAGGAATGATAATGACACAATTTGAATGAACTGAATAGAAGTTATTTCAATTTTGAGGGCAGATAATATTTGAAAAAGATAACTTTGTGCACAGCATGTACTGCAGGGCTACAGGTGCTGACAGCTGCGAAATGAACATCAAACAGTAAAAAATGAAAAAGCAAAATATTTGAGTTACAATGTGATTTGAAAATGATTAATATACTCAAGAAAACTCCAGCCTTCAATAAATAGTACTAAATAACCTGTATTACCATTTCATACACATGGGAATTAGAGTGTGTTAGCTGAGGCGGGCCCTTAAGACCTGCTCTGTGGGAAAAGAAAAGATGACTTTAATAGAGAGAAGAGCCTCTGGGAAAGGTAACGGTTCACATAAGGCTTATATCATGGATTTTAAGCATTGTTTAGATATGGGGAAGACATGTCTGATGTTAAAGGTCACTAGCACTAATCAGTTATTGGCCCGAGAGGATTCTGTTTAGGCTACCTGAGATGCTAGATTACCAGCCAGCACTACTTACAGCGGCAGGCGTGAGCACGTTGGTGAATAATGAGGGTAGGAGGGGATTCTCAGGAGTTAATCCCCCAAATCCATCTGGGAAGTACAACACAGAGGCAAGCGTGGTTGGCAGGCCGCGTTGCTTTGTTCCTTTTCTGACTCCCACTGGAATGAAAGGATTTGGAGTCTAACAATGCCGAGACGTGAAGAAGAAAGTTTTGTGAAGACTCAGCCGCATCAGTGAAGATCATCAAGATGCTTTAAGGCGACGAAGGACCTGCTGCTCTCGTTAGTGCCGTGGTTAAGAAAATACCATGGAACAGCGCTGGTTTCTTTGTTTGTTTGTCATTAGTCAGTGGAAGTAAGATTTAAGAGTTGAGAAAGGCTCATTCCAGAAAGAATGAGTGAGAGTACTCCTAATGAGGAGGAGAGTGTGGATCAGGTCAGCAGCAGCCTAGAAGAAGAGGGAGATACGGCTCTAAGAAAAGCCCCGCGCACAGGGGCCCGTCTGTGGGACAGAGTCTGCAGCAGTCTGCTCAGACCAAAGGTAATGGAAAAAGAGCTGTGGACAGACCAACATGGGTTTTGTTGTAAAGGAAGCCTTGAGAATTACTACATTTAAGTAATTACATTTAACTTGTTTTTGCTTTCTCTTATTTTCTACTGATGGTTAAAGCCCTGTTTGAGTTGCGCACTGTGTTGTATTTTTGCTGGGATGTTTCTTTCATATGCCGGCATTGTACTGCCTGTTATCGTTTTTCATCCTTTTGTATTATGTATTATGTAAAAGAAAATGTATTTTCACTGAACAAAGGATTATTTGAATGAGATTTGATGGTTTCTTGGGTGAAAGAATCTCAGCCATGTTGGACAGGCACAGTGCTGATCACGTTACTTATGCCTGACCACTTGCAGTGTGGTATTAGTCAGATGACTGAAATAGATCAGTGACACCAGTTAACGCTACCTGGCCATATGGACTTTATGTTTATGTGAGGCAATTCAAGTAATTGAGCAGGTAATATTTACCTACACAGAAACGTAACTCTCACTGCAGTTCACAAAAAATTATTTTATTAATATTATTATTTTAATATATTTTATACGTCATTTGAAGCTGATATGGGCAAACTGTTTTCCTGGTTTTTAATTCTGAGGAGAATCTGAATTCATTAAAAATTATGTGACTCTGGAAATGAAAAGTGGTCTTTTTGTTTTTTCAGCTGGATCCCCAGACATTGCAAAATAAAGACTGGCAGAGGACAGTCATCACCATGAACGGGGTAAGTGTTTTCACCAACCCAGTAAAAAGTGGCAAAATTAACAATGATGCTGAAGTTGGCTGCTTCTGGTTATGAGGGGTTCAGCTTCCAATTTGAGGGTTAAGGGGAAAGTTGATGGACAGAGGTGAGGTTATTTAGCAGCTGGGTCTCTCTTTCTGCACAACTTGTAGTTGTTAAAAAGTATTAGATATAATATTAAAAGCTTCAAGATGCTTATGTTTGTTTTTTTAAAACATTTTTTGTATTCAGTCCACATTAGTCCAGGTCTAACCACACTTGGAGAGAAGTCGTGTTTTTAACAGTGTCTGGAGTCAATGTTTTAATTGAGTCCAGATTTGACCATTCTAAGTTGTCTTTTAGCTAGACCACATTTGGCATATTAAATAAAGGTTTCAAAAATCTTAAAGCAGCCTTGAGGTTTTGAATATGGTATCTGTGAACCAGAAGCCAACTTTAGCGTCATTGATAAAAGTGATTCATGTAATACAAGTTATAAAGGATTACTGCTATCCAACAGTAATTCCATTCAATTCAACTAAATTTAATACACACATTTTATTGGTCCGGTACGACCAGTAGCTTAGCATCACGACGAGTCAGTTTGCTGACTCGTCTGTACTTGTGCTAGTGTTACAGTTCGCTCTAGCATGTATCATTACCCTCTTATTGTCGCTTGTAGCCACATTGTCTGCTTTTTAGCAAATATTAACAAGCCTAGCTGACATGAAGTGGTTTTCTTTACTTGTTTCAGATTGAGGTGAAGCTTTCGATGAAGTTCACCAGCAGAGAGTTCAGTCTGAAGCGAATGCCTTCACGGAAACAGTCCGGCGTCTTTGGAGTGAAGATCAACGTAGTGACAAAGTGAGCTGATGATCTGTGTGTGTGGCATGCCAATATGCCCATTTTTTATATTTGATGTAACTCAATGAGTCACCATGTACAACGTGCCCCTTTTTTACAAAGTGTAATTTGTTGATCATGCAGCGTTGTGAGAGAAATGACTGGGGTGGGTGTCTAGCTCTGCCCCGATCAGGACCCTGAAACTGAACTAACTAAATGTAATTCAGCTATCCTTCATTTTATCATTTATACTTCTCCTACTGTGACATGTCAAAATGTCTGGCTTATTGACCAGCGGCCCTAACCAAATCAATACTAGAGCACAATGTGTGAAGTCAAGACAATATTAGCATCTTCTATTAGCCTTCTACAAGCATTTTACAGGAAAACCTAGTCTACTGGCAGCAAACAATAAGGAGATGCTTTGAAAAACACTAGTACTAACAAATACCCCAGTGGTGGCATACACGGGCTACACTGGTTTCATCCATGGTCACTTGTGTTTATAGCATTTATACGTGTTGATTTGTAAGTAGCTCTTCTGAAACTTTCTGTCACTAGGCGAGAGCGCTCCAAGGTTCCCCTCATTGTGAGACAGTGTGTGGAGGAGATAGAGCGACGGGGAATGGAGGAGGTGGGAATCTACAGAGTGTCTGGCGTCGCAACTGACATCCAGGCGCTGAAGGCCGCCTTTGATTCAAGTGAGTTCAGTTTGAATTTGACTTCTTATCAAAATTGATTTGACAAACGTGGCAAAGATAGGAAATAAGAGATACTTGTAGGAAACCTCTCGCAGAGCTCTGCAGGACTGACTCATACTCTGCTCAGATGTGTTTCTCAAAGCCCAGTAGGCAGCTCGTATTATTTGGTATTTAGTGACTGTTGTATCATTTGCCACCAGACAACAAGGACGTGTCTGTAATGATGAGGGAGATGGACGTAAACGCCATCGCAGGAACACTGAAGCTGTATTTCCGCGAGCTGCCGGAGCCTCTTTTCACTGACGAGTTGTACCCCAACTTTGCTGGAGGCATCGGTCAGTCCCCACTTTTTTTCTTCTTTTTTCTTAAACTCAGTGGTGATTTGTGACAGTGGCACATTCACATGTGCTTTTGCCTTGCAGCTCTCTCTGACAGTGTGGCCAAGGAGAGCTGCATGCTCAACCTGTTGCTGTCTCTACCAGAGCCCAATCTGGTGACTTTCCTCTTCTTGCTCGACCACCTTAAACGGTAAAAGACCTCACAACGAACACATTATTCAAGCGACTGTGGATCCGTGTTATTAATTTTTGCCATCCTTTTAGAGTGCGATGATAGGTGAGACAAGTGTGTTATAGTAGATGTAGCTGGCTGTTCAGCGGTGATTGAAAACTACCAAATATGTGCTGTTCGGGATCTTATAAGTATATAGGTTGAATGTTATTAGTTGTTAAACTAGTTGTAAAGGGTAGCTGCTAAACAATAGACATTTGTGGTTCTAATAGTACTATTTGAAAATCTTACAAAAACAGATACATGCCAGCAAGTGTGAAATAACTAATTCTTTCTGTCATAGATGAAAAGCAATACATCTCACACTTGCTCAATTTAATACACACAGGAGCTTTGATGCTAAAAACTGACTTGGTCTGGTATGACCAAAAGATTCAACTTCAGAGTTTAATGACTCTTCTCTTCTGTTACACAATGTTTTAGCATTTAGCATTACACCCATCATTGTCACTTGTAGCTATAGTGGTCACTGTTGAGCTAAAGTTACACAAGCTATCTTAAAAGCTTGTATGCTGTCATTTACATAAAGTAACAAAGTTCCTTTACTTGTTGGGTAAAGGAATTTATAAAGATGTACTGTTTGGCTTGGGATTTTGTGAGCATCTATAGTTTTTTTTCTTACAGGGTGACTGAAAATGAGAGCATCAACAAGATGTCTTTGCACAATCTGGCCACGGTTTTTGGCCCCACTTTGCTTCGGCCCTCTGAAAAAGACAGCAAAATCTCAAACAGCTCGCAGCCAATCTCCATGAACGACAGCTGGTCTCTAGAAGTTATGGCTCAGGTAAAACCTGTGTCAGGATATTGACTAGAGAGATATTTGGACTACTTGGTGTGGGTCTGATCACCTTGTTCTGTGTCCGTAGGTGCAAGTCCTTCTCTACTTCCTTCAGCTGGAGAGCATTCCAACACCTGACAGCAAACGCCAAAGCCTTCTCTTCTCCACTGAAGTATAACGTGAACATCGTACAGTGTCCGTAAATGTTCTGTTCAGAGGCAGACTGTCAGCTGCCTAATGGGGCGGATGCTGTTGAGCGGCCATGGCTGGTTTACTCTGAGGATGCTTGATTTAGCCACCAGGTGGAACCGTTAACACATTGTAAACTGGAAACAGCCATCATGACCAAAGCCATTTCTGTTGGAGGTGTCATGAGCATATGAGTTCTGTTTACTTACAAGCTTACCTGCTGTGTCAGTAAAAGACAACCCTATATGATGTACGGACAAAATATATCATTCCTTTTTTAATTTAATTGTCAAGAAGTATTATTTACTGTACTTTCATATTTTTCACTGCCCTGTTCTGTCACTGTGCATACATTAGCTTTATATTCACAGAAGGGGATTTCTGCTGTAGTTGGATTTTGTAAGATTTATTTCTGTAGATTGATGATCGATGAATGGAAATTAATTTCTATTTTCTTGTTTGACTTGGTTGAAAGCGCACCTGTGCCAATGTTTCCCTGCTGATGACCAGTAGAACACTTTAGTTACCCTGATGTTTACACACACTCTTAATTTTGTACAGAATTAGTGTAAGTTTGAGACTGAAAACTGTAGTTAACACACAGCAACGTGCAGGCATGTTGACCTATCCATTTGAAGCGTTTTGCCATCTGTGCTATACAATTTATATAGTGACTTTCTTCAGTTTACAGGTTCTTCTGGTGGTGTCCGAGCCAACTTTCATTTAGATAAGAGTGCTTTTTTTGAAAGTGGTACAGAGACGTGAAAGGCAGATCATTCCAGGAAAAGGCGAGGCCTAATTCTTCCTCCCATGGAATAGACAGTGCTGTGTATAATTTTAATTTCACAGTCGTCTTTTGTCCATGTCTCATATGTTTTGTGTCCATATTGTTTTTTTTAGCTTCTTACTGATTTGATTTATTCACTAATGCACATGTGTTGCTTTGTGCATTCCTTCTCTGTAGTCTACCAATATAGGACAGAACCACACTGCTGTAGATATAAGAGATTATCTGAAATACCAAATGTTCCTTAGTAGGTAGCCCTTGAAGCACAGGGATTCACACATAACCAATTCTCCTGGTTTATTAACAGGTGTATCATCCACATACCTAATATTACTTTCAAAGCCATGTGAAAATGCACTGTGTGCTTGCGTTAATATTTTTTCCCCCCCAAATCACTACATGTATTCAAACACTTGTTAGCACAAACTATAACCCTAAAGGTGTGTCATTTATGTAAAATAAGCAATAACTCTTAGTATTTCTTAGGACGAGCAATGACTAGTGGCTCTTGTATGTATGATTTATGTAAATAAAAACTTGGTAACATTATTCTTGCATCATTTCTTAGTTAACTTAATTAATCCTCAGACTGACAGTTATGTCCAGACTCACCAATGTTTCAGTCCTCTTTCATAAATATGTGCTAAACCCAGTCCCCTACTTTACTGTAGCTATGCTCAGCATACTGAGTTGTACACCTGTACACCATTCCATCTACCCTGTCCAGTGTGTATGCTACTAGAGATGCAAATGGTTCTGTGTAGGACTGGTGAAGACAGTGAGGAGCATGTAAATGAAAAGCGAATTACACATTTACTGTGTCTGGGCTTTGGTGGTCCAGTGGTACCTGGGTGTGTTCCCCGCGTGACATGTTAATACAGTGGTTCTCAAACCTTTTCACATCAAGGACCCCCAATCTGACACAAATAAGACCACGGACCCCCATTTTGTACCAGGGTCACCCATCTGATAGGATTTTTGCTTTCAAAACCCAATGCCAAAAAAGTTACACATTCTGTCATTGTGTTTCTTTTGAATGTAATTATAGTGATAATAAATTATTCCCCTTTTAGCTGGGGACCCCCTGGAACCCCCTCAAGGACCCCCTTGAGAACCACTGTGTTGATGCACACATTTACAATAATGTAATGGTAAATTAAAAGGTAAATATGGTATTTCCTCTAATTGAAGGAGTGTGATTGGGTGATTATGAATTTATAAAGTTTAATTAAGAGAAGAAGAAGAGGAGGTGAATGAAGTTGGTGCAGACTTGGTTGAAGAGAAGCTGCGCAGACCTTTGGCCCAGCTAGGAGTAATTTAGAGACAATAATAAATAAAGTCCTGGATATTTAAACATCCTGTACAGGGGGTGATGCTGAGATGATGCAACCAGAGGAGGGGGCAGAGGATCATCCGGCTGCTGCCAACAGTAAGGGGCTGACATCTGAAACCGATGCTGCCTGCCCTCTCAGTCTGAAGTTGTGAATTTCCCGAAATGGTAGCGACCGCATATGAACATTCATCGGACCTCCGTCAACCTGTCAAACAGGGAAATTAGGAGAACCTCAGGTATGAATATTTTATTCGTTTACTGAAAGAGCGATGTCTTTTTGCCGGCTGTGCTAACATCGTTAGCCTAACGATAGCATTAGCAACCTAACGTTAAGCTTTGCTATTGTTTACTGACAGCTGAGGTAAAATAACTGACAGAAAAGAAACAAACAAACCTACTCTAAAGGTACGCATGCTCGCGCTGTTCGTTTTGTTTGTTTTAAACACAGCGAGAATTATTGTTTTAACCCTCTAACCAGATTTTTGTTCAGCGGTCAAGCTAGAAAAATTAACTTGGCTCTGTACTGTGAATTATTTCAAAATAAGTCTTAACGTTAAGCCTTAAGTCTCAACGTGTTGACATGTTGCCTCCAGTGTCATACATAATTTAATGGCTTTCTTGGCTATGGGTTTAAAGCAATTCAGTGATACATTTGGTTGTACTGTTAGTGTACTGCTAGTACTCCGCACGTCTTGGCAAGACCACCTATAATTATTATTTGAAAAAAGTTGGTAAAGCTAAGTCTTAAAAGCCTTTGGCTCCACAGTCACCTGGAAATATCCCTTTCACTTGCCAATACATAGCTGCAGTATGAAGCCACATTACATCTGTTATCTATCCACTATACAATACCTCTAACTATTGACTGCTCTATGTTCACATTATCTCGTTCTACCTGAGTTTTATTATATAGTATTATTGTGTCAGTAAAAGTTGTCTGAGGTGTCTAGCTCGGTGCCTTTGTTTTGAAAGCGTGTGGCCAAACAGGAAGTGAAGTTACTGAACGTCCCTGTGTGCCTGATGATAAAGCTAACTAGCTAGCTGGGTTATCTCCTTGGTTTTAAGTTGCCATTTGGTCTCTATCATGATAGTACCGACGTTTGCTTACTCCGTAGAGCCTGGTAGTCGTGAACCTGAAAGGTCTAGTTGGTAAAGTATGTGCTTGTGTGGTTGAATGATACACTGTTGGGCTAACGTTAGCCGTGGTGCTAATGTAGGTGTAGCCAAGAACAATGTGAATTTGCCATCCCCCAGAGGAGAGTCAACAGTGAACTGATGTTGCAGCGTGTCAGTGCCTTGGCTGACTCAAACAGCATACTATTGCAGAGCTGTGTGTATCTTGACTCAACCCCCTTCTTTCGCGCGTAACGTTAGTCAATTCATTAAAAAAACTTTTTTTTTTTTTTTTTTTTTAAATCAGGTGACCGCAGATGTTTCCTGGAATAGCTTGGAAAAACAATATTTCACAGCCCACTCTTTAAATCAGTGTCCAGGAGATGTGAGTAATGAGACGCTGCAGTCTTGGAAACTTTGCCCCCAAGTGACTTTGAAAAAGGGGAAAGAAAGACATGCATTTCCAAGACAAATTTATAGTTTCGAGCAAACACATGCTCTGTTTGATTCAACTTAATAAAGATGATTACATTTTTAGTAGCTTTTGGCATGGCAACTTTTAAGTGGAAGGTGGGTGAGGATTTGCAAAACACATCTCAATATATTCTGTACTTGTACAAATATGAATGCTGTGGATGGTCTTGCTTCTACAATACCATGTTAATGCTGATGATGTGAAAAGTGCCAAAGAGGGAAATATGCTAGGCTTGCTGATCCTCCATTTGTATCAGCATGTTATACTAGCATTGAAATACCGAGACTGTTGCTTGTCATTTGGCTGAAGGCTACACCATAATATATATTATATCCTAGCTGTAATATATATGTATATTATGTATATTACAGCTGGGACAGGCAATTTATTTAGAGGTACTATTTGTTATATTTGTTGAAATTCTCTGTACATCTTGACAGCAATCAATAAATCAAATGCACAGACACAAAAATGAACAGAAATCCGGTATCTGTGGCTGTTGCAGCACTGCAGTAAGCACGGCCAATCATTTCATTCGCCTACCTACCTGTCTGCCTATGCCATGGAAATGTGCTTTGGAGGGAGGCCCTGAAGGGGTGGGGGGTTCTGTTGGTTGCTTTCAACATCTAGATGTTCTCCAACATTGCCTTCCCCTGCTTTAATAGTGAGGCATAGGTTTGACAGTGTCCGCTCTGTCTCAGGCAGACTGGTGCCTGCTTGTCCTTGTACACACAATCACCTTTGTAGGGTAGATTTTTTTTTTTTTTTTTTTTTTTTTTTTTTACTAGAGACGCCACCACCAGAAACTGCTGTTATGGCAAGGAAGTGCCTCCTTACAGTTAAAATTAAAGCACGAATAAGGAAGGCGAGCAGGGGACGGGTATTAATGAGTTTTTAGACCACTACTACCCCCACTTTCTTCTCTACCCAGAATTTTGTTCAGCTGTCTGTGAAGAAACACTACACACACTTGTTCTTTTGGACAACCGTGGATCCATTGCAACACTAAAATCAAATACTGTAGCTGTTTAATTTGAATCAGTGACATTACCTTCTGAGTTGAGGTGTTTTGCATGTAAATAATTCTGTTGACACCCTCTGTGTGATGGACTTATTTTTTTATATTGAAAAGGAAAAATTAGTACAGTTTACATAATCATACCCTCACTGGCCAATGATGTGGAATTATTAGTTTTGTTTTGTACCATCACAGAAACATGCTTATAGCCCAGTGTGTATACATTCATGGTGTATGAATTATTGTTTTAAGAGTATTTAAAATGGTACACACATCTTTTTTGCAGAGTGAGAGAGTGCCCCATTTTGCTTCACTTCTGGTCCCCAGCCTGCGCTCCCATGTCTGTTCAGATCCAAATAAAAAGAGCTGTGCTCTAGCTAGCAGCTCTCTGTTTCAGACATCTGCTTTGACACACATTCAGCTATTCAGAAAACTGGCTAGTTGTTAAGTGCACATGTCAGTGCTCAGGGAAAACGCCCTGCCAAACGTATGTGTTATGGATAAATACATGCAGTACACAGTTGGGTATGCAAAGATATATTACAGATAAGGAATATAATTCCTTTCTTTATATTACTTAACAATTCAGCTGGAGACGTTTGTTTGGTTGGTGGCATATACTATGAGTTTAGTAGCTGCAGTGGTGCTGATACACATTTGAATGTTCTTTGTTTCTTTGTGACCAAAAGGTTTGTGTTTTTAAAACGAACAGCAACAAAAAGTAAGAAGACTCGCACAGCAGGACTGTAGACGTTCTGGCAATGACAGACTGACAGACAACAAAATTAATCAATTATTTATAGCTTCACTGCATGTATAATTTAAGATAACCTGTCAGCATACAAAGTCTCGGTATGGGTAACATAGTGAGAACAGGACAGACATGAAATATCAAACGCATGTTCTCAAAGTATGGCCACGACATAAAGCTTCTAAAATAAGGTGAGGCCTGTGGGGATGTAGATTCAACTCGGGAAGCTTTGACCTATTAAAAGACACTGACTGGGGAAAGATGCATGGTGTAAATTCAGAATTAACATTTTGAATGGTCAAAGAGGTTGCAGATGTAAACACAATATACTTCAAATATTCTATGCATGTAGGTTGTATTGAAGTACAGGTTTGTTTCCGTGACTAAATTATATACACCTCTGCAGAGCTGTAGAGTCTAGTCCAGCTGAGACACATTTACTGTTTCCTCCACATGAGGCAGGGAAGATTGTTTCTTTTGTTTGCTTGCGGCTCTTTGTAAACTGTCTGTGGTCTGATGGTATGTGGCACATATATGGTGTCTTTGAACAGAAACAACAGTTTTTGTAAGCATGAGTAAAGATTGCAAAAGTTCTGCAACTTGAAAAATATAAATTTTTATCTTTAAGTCCAATCAGACTCTGAAGGCCACTTTTAACCCGAAAGAAATAATAAGCCAAATAAATATCCTCTCTGCAGGAAAAAAAACACAAAAAGTTCAACTCTCAGAAGGCGCAAGATGACAGATTGAAAATAACATCTGTACCAAGGAAACACAGCTGAAATCTATTAGAAAAGTATTTTGTTTTTGAATAAAGCACACTTGTGGTTTAGTAGCAGGTTATTTTGGATTCTCTGGAAGTATCAGGAGAGATCAGATGCCTCAGATGTGAGCTACAGATCTCCACCTGCTCCGACTGTGTTAGATTGGTGATTCATTTTTGTCGTGTGTAATTTATCTAGCTAAGATTCAAGGAAATGTTTCAGTGAGTTGTCTAAACATTTGTGCTCCTGCTACAATTCATTGGTCAGCTTCTCACAGTGTTCTATTTAAAGTCTGATTTACTGCTGATATTTGATTATATTTATTTCCGTATCCAAACAACAAACTTCTGGAAAACAAAAAATGAAAACAGAGCACTGACTCTGAGATAGATCGTATCTGGGTTTCCTATGTATAAAATAAATAACTTCAGCTCACTGTTTCCTCTTAAGAGCCATAGTGCACCTCTAGGACATCCAAATCTGTGCTAAAGCACTTACTCGTTGTCTCCAGCTGTGTCCCAAATCATTTTTTTTTTCTTGCTATCATGGCATCAAGTCAGGGTCTTTTCAGACTTTGACGCAACATGTGAACAATACTGAATAAAGCCTCCTGTGTTTTCTAAAAGCTTTTATTTGGTTACCGCCAGTTTCAACACCTTGTTCGCTGCCAAATGAACACCAGATACAAAAATGCACCAGACAACTCCAAGCTTCATTTGCTAAAGTTTGGGAGAATATTTTTGTATCACCTGCTACTAATTCAATACACATTACACACTCACCAAATTATGTTGAAGAATTTGCCCCGTTAAACTCTTCTGGGTTATCAGGTTGAGCAGCGGTAATTGTGAACTGGTGTGAGTACATCTTGCACGAACATGGCACTAAATGATTCCTTGACATTGCAAGATGAGATGCAGTGCATCAGACCAGTTGCCCAGTTACAGACTCATATTTTTGCCTCTCAGAATATGACTGCAGTTGTGTTGGTTTGGGCTTTCACTTTGATCTGTTAAGGAATCTACATTTCCTTTTTTGGCTTTGCTCACTACACTAGAAAAACCCTATCTTACTGATCTTTGTCTGTTCTAAGGAGTAGATTGTAAGGCCACATTCTTTCCACACCAACCACACACAGAGATTAAACTGAGGCTTTATCAGTGTCATCGTTGTTGCAGCTGACAGGCAAGTGAAACTCTGAACTGACTGAACTATCACCAGTGCACGAGAGCCATCTAGTGGAGGTTTTGGTTGGCCTTTGAAAGCCACTGTTTCAGTGTTTACATAACATTCCTGTATCTGGGGTGGTCCCATACAGCTGTCTTATCAGCTTCCAAACTGTGGTGAAGACAAAATTATTGGAATCATCGCAAGTACCACACAAGTTTTCATGTGTAACGATGTAAATATAAATAAACACCATTTTTTTTTAAACTTCACTATATACATTCAGTTATCATTGTAGGCATCAGAATAAGCAAAATTATCCACCGCCTCCCAAACACCAGCCACCTAGAACAAATTTCAAATCACAGAGGCAGACGGGGAGAAACACATTTTCTAGAAGTGCTCAGCTATTCAATGTGGTCTCAGTGTTTTCTAGTGTTTAGGGAATAGCGTCTGTGGAAAGAATTCCTCATCCCATGGAAAACTGGAGCTATCACTCTGATTGCTGACATACATTACCTTTCTCCTCCCTCCTTTTGTGCACAGATTGAGCTGTAAATGTATCAGCATCAGAGAGCTCAGTATGAAGAAGTCGGTCCGGCCAGCGGTGAGTAAGGTGAGCGGAGATCGAGGGAAGGCAGAGGCCGCGGCTGCCACTGGGCCCGGAAAACCTGCAGCCAAGACCAGCACCACCGCACCTCTGTCTAAGGTAAGACTCATCTCGTGATGGACGGGTTAGTGTTGATAAATGCTGGTTTAAATTTGACTTAATTTTCTTGTGAATTTAAAGTGAATATGTTGATATATTATTTTCCCACCAGGTGAAGAGCAATGATGATCTTTTAGCAGCTATGGCTGGAGGAAATCCTGCATCAAATAATGCTGTCACCAAGGCCAAGAGGACTGCCTCTATTGGGACTAATGCTAGCAACCTAGACAGCAAGCCAAAGACAACATCAGGTATATATTCCATGCCTAGGTGTTAATTTAATCTTTAATGATGTTGATTGCAAGTGTAAAGGATTACTTTTTTCTCTTTTACCAGGTACTTCATCCAAGCGGTCGACAGCTTCGATCTCAAAGGAGACAAATTCATCAAGGGACCGTCTCCGGACATCCAGGACCTCAGCCAATAAGAAGCAGTTAGTATCAGGGACTGTAGCAGGGGATGTGGCCTCAGGGAAGCGCTCTCGCGGCCAGATCCTGGCAGAGTCTGATGGCCGTATGAGCAAGTCCAAATCCGATGGCCAGATCAGTGATAAGGTGGCTCTGGAGGCCAAAGTAAAAGACCTGGTGGGTTTGGCTAAAAGCAAAGACGTGGAGATCCTCCACCTTCGCAGCGAGCTGAGGGACATGAGGGCCCAGCTTGGCTTGGGAGGGAACGAAGCAATGCCCCAGGAAGAAGCTGGGGAGGAAGAGAAGCCCCAGGTGTCAGTCATCACAGCAGCAGACGTGGAGTCCACTCTTATTCTCTTACAAGAGCAGAACCAGGCCATCAGAGAGGAGCTGAACCTGCTCAAGAGTGAGAACCGAATGCTAAAGGACCGGCTCAATGCGCTGGGCTTCTCTCTGGAGCAGAGGCTGGATGGGTCTGACAAGCTGTTTAACTACGCCTCCCTGAGCCCGGACCTGGCAGCAGGCAGCGGGCAGAGCGATGGCGGAGGAACAGGAACGCTGACCTCCTCAGTTGAAGGCTCTGCCCCCGGCTCTTTGGAGGATCTGCTCACAGGACACCAACATGGAGGCTCGGCAGACAACCTCGACAGTGAATCTAGCGAGGTCTACCAGGCAGTCACCTCCAGTGATGACGCTCTGGACGCCCCGTCTGGAGCCTCCTCATCATCCGAGTCGGAGTGCGCCCCCAGCAGGGAGTGCTCACGGAGAGGCAGCAGTGGCAATGCCAGCGAGGTGTCAGTGGCCTGTCTGACAGAGCGCATCCACCAGATGGAAGAGAACCAGCATAGCACTGCTGAGGAGCTCCAGGCCACATTACAGGAGCTGGCTGACCTGCAGCAAATCACCCAGGAGCTGAACGGAGAGAACGAGCGGCTAGGCGAAGAGAAGGTGATCCTCATGGATTCCCTGTGCCAACAGAGCGACAAGCTGGAGCTGTACGGTCGACAGATTGAGTACCTGCGCTCTCTGCTGGATGAGCATCATATATCGTATGTGCTAGAGGAGGACATCAAGAGTGGCCGCTACATGGAGCTGGAGCAGCGCTACGCAGACCTGGCAGATAATGCCCGCTTTGATAGAGAGCAGCTGCTGGGGGTTCAACAGCACCTGTCCAACACGCTGAAGATGGCTGAACAGGACAACGCAGAGGCCCAGGAGATGATCGGAGCACTGAAAGAGAGAAACCACCAGATGGAGCGCATCATGGAGTCAGAGCGACAGGGTCGAGCTGCCATGGCGGCCACACTTGAGGAGTACAAGGCAGCAGTGAGCAATGACCAGGCGGAGCTGAGCCGTTGCAGAACCCAGCTGGACCAGGAGAGGCAGAGGGTGGCCGAGCTGTACTCTCTTCACACTGCAGGGGACAAAAATGACATCTGCCAGCTGCTTGAAGGAGTTCGTCTGGGGAAAGAAGAGGCTGAGGCCAAGGCGGCGAAGTTGCAGGAGGAGCTGGAACAAGCCCACAGTGAACTCACCCGGCTGCAGGAGACCTGCAGTAAGGTTAGTTAAAACTTGAAAGAGCTTTTGAGATGTAAAATCTCAGGCTATTACAGAGACAATTTGTGTGAGGCATCAATTTTCCTGAAGCCATAAGATGCTAAATTGGTGTGTTTGACCTAAATGAAACTTTAATCTAGGGTGCAAGAGTTTTTGGGTCACCAAAATGAGTGCGCCTTTTCTTGTCTATGGAGCAGAGCCAGATTTGACCTTGAAAATGTCACAAATTCAGCATTCCTCTCCAACATTACACTAGGCAGAGGATAACTGTGGCGATGTGTAGTTCAGAAGAACACTGTACACAGTACATCTCTATAAATTACAGTATGACGCTGCTGGAGCTTTATTGCACATTAGTCAGCTAATGAATTCATGGCTTGTTAATTAAATGAAGGATACCCCTCTTCCTGTGTGCAGCTGGACAGGGAATACAGAGACTTCCAGGAACAGGTGCAGCAGCAGATGGCCGAGCAGGAGCGCGCGCTGGAGAAGCAGCGCGGGGAGCTGCAGGAGAAAGAGACTGAGATCGCAGACATGAAGGAAACCATCTTTGAGCTGGAGGATGAGGTAGAGCAGCACCGAGCTCTTAAACTCCACGACAACCTCATCATCACAGACCTTGAGAGTAAGTGGGCTGGACACGCAGTCAAAAGTGTAAACATGTTCTAATGGTCAACCTTTGACTGGCTATATCATGTTTACTCAGGCAGGCAGCCAGTGATCCTGTAGAGATCCTGTTATGTGAAACCACTCATCTACTAAGAATAACTGGTTTGATTGGAGGGATAGTTCGGATTTATTTAAAGTGGGGTTGTATGAGGGACTTCTCCATAGTCCGCGTATTTACCTGCAGTGGCTGCTGGTCATGTACATCCCCCTATTTGGAGAAGCAGACAGGAGTGCTGGCATGGAAGCAATGGGGCAGCAGCAAAAACATATTTTAGCCACCTAAAAGAAGGATCGCCTAAAAACGTACTGTACGCTATATCTACAACATTTTCATATTTTACCTTGCCATCAAACAGCCCTTTCTGACAGAGAGCTGGAGCTGATAACATTTTGCTCTTCAACGTAATTTTACCTCGCAGAAGAAACTAGCGGTAGACCAGCAACTCCTGTGTTCTGCGAGGTTAAAGAGAGCATAAGTGTACATAATGGCTTCAGTCCCCTGTCAGAAGAGGGTAAAGTGGTGAAAATGTTCTAAATATAGCATTTTAATTATGCAGTACTATTGCTTTGCTTCTATGCCGGTACTCCTGAGTCTTTCTCTAAACTGGGTGTTTGCCAACCGCCATCTACAGCGGGTAATTGACCGACTATGGTTAAGTACCTCGTACAGCCTCACTTCAAAACTCTTCACCAAATCATCACTGCCATCAATTGTTGTCAAGTCTTCAGACTAACAGCAGTAAGTTATGTGTGTTATTGAGTCAGTCTGTTCTGTGGCATGTTAATACCACCAACATGTATTTATTTCCTATTTCAGACTCTGTGAAGAAGCTGCAGGACCAGAAGCACGACATGGAGAGAGAGATTAAGATTCTTCACCGCAGACTGAGGGTAAGAGAGCTGCAGGGGGGCACTGGGCTACGTGAGGACAAGCGCTTTTAGTGCCAGGATTTTTTGCTTTTAGTACACTTGAAGAAAGGAAGATGCCAAACTGCAGCAGTTTTAGGCTAGTTCTTAGAAAAAAAAGTTAATATATCTGGACACTGGTTAAAACCAATGCTGAGAAGTAAACACTCTTCTGCTGTTGGCCTGACTCCAGACACAGCAGGCAGCTGTTTTTACTGAAAAAAGTTCCCTTCATGCTACCTACCCAGTACCAAACAGCAAGTTAGCAACTAGCTGATGAAGATAGTGGAGGATTTAGCAGCTAAAGAGCCAGATATTTCTCTCAGGTTTGCTGAGATCAAAGCAGAGCTAAAAGGAGAGTGAGTATTGGACTAAACATCAGGTGGCCAGAAACACGACTGTTAAATGAATGCTTATGTTTCTCTGTTTCTGCTGGATGTGTAAATAAGTGAATGTTTGCTAACAAGTTCACCATATTAACTTCATGTGATGATAATATGTCAGCTTGTTCCGGTGCCCCCAAATGTCCACAAAAATCATTACCTAATGCTAAATAATCCGATTTACCCATTTTGCCTAAATCATGTTCAGCTTTCTGCTCTCTGCTGTTGTATCACTGTCTGTGTGTGTCTGTGTGCGGTTTGTGTGCGCAGGAGGAGTCGATGGAGTGGCGTCAGTTCCAGGCTGATCTGCAGACAGCCGTTGTCATTGCTAATGACATCAAGTCCGAAGCACAGGAGGAGATTGGAGACCTGCGGCGCCGGCTGCAGGAAGCCCTGGAGAAGAATGAGAAGCTGAGCAAAGAGCTGGACGAGGTCAAGAGCCGCAAGTAAGACCCACAGAGAGACGTTCGGAAGAGCTCCAGTCACACTGACATGATCTGTCGTATGTTTATAAACAAAAAGAGAGAACATTTAAAGTTGCATATTTGATGCTGATGAATCCCACAGTTTACTGACCAAATAATAAATTAATTTTAAATAATTTCACTATAATTGACAGACATGATACGGACTGAATAAGTTTCTCAAACCATTCTGTACACAGCTTAGGAGCTCTAGATGTGTATATACTGAGTAGATTCCTGTGTGTCTCCCAGGCAGGACGAGGAGAGAGGTAGAGTGTATAACTACATGAATGCCGTGGAGAGGGACCTGGCTGCTCTCAGACAGGGGATGGGTCTCAGCCGGCGATCCTCCACCTCCTCAGAGCCCTCGCCCACCGTCAAAACACTCATCAAGAGCTTCGACAGTGCCTCACAAAGTAACACAATCATAAGATGCTTCCCTTTACTCTTTGTTTTAATAATAATTTGACAATGCAACTTAATTGTTATTTATTTATTCCCCATTGCTGTACATGAAGTCATATGCCAAGATGCTTTTTGACTGAGTTCTGCATCCGTTTCAAAGACTGATCTAAAAAAAAATAAAAAAAATCCTAGCTTTAATTTTAGATTTTGATAGAACGGATTATCAGATGTAAATTCTATTTATTATGCAGTAAGATGAATTTGTTTTGGCGAACCATCCAAGTTCAGCATTTGTTCATGCAGCAGAAACTTTAATAGACGAGGCTACTAATGCAGTTCATGACATCAGGAGTATATTTGGTCTCTATTTGTGTGGAGCAGGTCTAAACGGAGCTGCATGTATTGGTTCTTTTTCAATCTTTACTTAGGTCCCCCTACCAATGGTGCCACTGTGGCTCCAACAGCCTCAGCTGCCCCGCTACCACGCACCCCGCTCAGCCCCAGTCCTATGAAGACGCCCCCAGCAGCTGCTGTTTCACCCATACAGGTACAAGGCTATGAATATGTTCCTTTTTTCCCCTGTTACCTTACCATTTTATTGGCTAGTTAGGAACTTTATTTTCCACAATGTGAAAAGTCGTCATTAAAAAAAAACAAAACAACACAAGACAGTTGATGAGGACAGATATCTTAGAGACACTTAGTATCAACAAACAAAATGGTTCTAAAACATTTAAATATAGTTATTAAAAATAAAAATGGACAGAGGGACTGGATGCAAGATTTAGTTTGTAACAACTGCTACAAAGTTCTTGCACCTGAAAGGCTCTGATAAGCTCTTGATAAAAAAAGATTTTGTTGAATCAATATTATTATTTTTTTATGTAGGAAATTTTACAGAGTACAGGTGACTAACAGTGTACAGGGTTTTTTTTCCACAGTGAAAAGTTTTTGAAAGAGGCAGGTTATGCATTTAATATTCTAATAAACAAAGCCTTTCCTGCTCTCTCTTTATCTGCTGCAGTTGGTTGCCTGCGTACATTGTAAATATGAGACACTCCCTGTCCTTAGGTGAATAGCCATTTCTTGTTTTATATTGACCCAGAGCCTAAAGAGTACTTGAACAGAAGTTTGCCACAGTTGACTACAGTATACTCTCAGATGTGAACATCTAGCCTACTCATTATGATACACATTTTGCATAATATTCAGTATAATAAAAATCGTCAGGTTTCCATACTAATTTGATTAGAGTGGGAGACCCAGGTTCAGTTCCCACTGCGACTCGTCCAACAATGTTTCCCCGAGCAAGACACTTAACCCCTAGTCGCTCCAGAGGCGTGCGAACTCTGACATATATAGCAATTGTAAGTTGCTTTGGATAAAAGCGTCAGCTAAAGGAGTAAAATGTGAATTAGAGAAGACACCTTTACCATTTTGTTCAATAAAGCTCACCTGAAGCAGTGTTGCGCAACCGTGGAATAAAATGATGCACTGAACACAGTGAACATTATTTTTCTTAATAATTGGTCCAAATTACTTTTTCTAGTAACACTGTGACCATACATTACATATGTGGTATAATTTGTTACATTAAAATACTCATAATTCCCAGAAAGCCATGTTTCCAGAACATCCTTTTTAATGAGCTAGGAAAAAGAGCTCTGTTTTCAGCTTTATTTTATTTTGTAATTCTCTTCGTTTAAGAAGTAGGGTATTTTTCTTCACCAATAAAGGAACAGTTACAGGTGGGATATTTGATTCCGGAGTACCATGACAAATATCATGATATAGAGCGAACAATGACATAGCACGTAATGTAACTAACACTAGCCAGGTTGTGGGAAAAAGAAAACTGTTGCTACAGTTGCTGCTGCCAAGCTAGCATGCAGAGAGGACGAGTCAGCACAGACCGCAATACTTGCAGCTTTCCTGCTTATATAGCTAACATTAAAACAACAGCGCATCTTGGCGAACTAGAAAATAAGTTGTATATCCATCGCCGAGTCATTTAACGTTACCAATGTTAAACTTCTTTTTTTAATTTAATCCCAACACCCCTTCTCTATTGGAGGCATTTTAACCTCCAACCAGGCTGTCATTGCAAATAAGAATTGGCTCTTAACTGACCTTCCTGGTAAAATAAAGGTAAAATAAAAACCTGACGCACAAATCATGGCTGGAAGAGTGTTGTGTGGCTTGTTTTCCCATTTACAGAGCCAGGGCTGTCTACAGACACCAGATTCCAGACAGCAAAATGGAGAGCTAGCCGACCGTGAGGAGATATTCACTGGATTTGACAAAAAGACATGGATTAGAATTGCTTACCCCACCTTTAGTCCTTCAGTTTTTCTGAAAAATGCAAAATCACTATATGTGGAGATTGATGGCTTTTGGAGTATTGCCATTTACTGGATTTATATATTTTCCGTTGTATTATTCTCAACCAAGACGACTCACACACTTTGTAATGCAGACAGCTGTTATTTGTTGTTGTTTCAGAGACACTCCATAACTGGGTCTATGTCAGCTGCCAAGCCGCTCTCCTCCATGAGTGATAAGAGGCCCAGCTACACAGACATCACCATGCCAGGTGAGGCAGCTGTCACTGTGATAACTTAAATACACAACTTAAACACACTGTAGAAATAATGACACTTTCTTTAATTCAGAACTTTCACTCAGAAATGTAGATATGAATCTGTAAAAGATCTATAATAATAATGTACTTTTAAATATGAGTCACACACCGGATATGCCAGAGTCCTTCGTCCTCTGCTGTACCTCTGTCACAGTAAAACTATCTTAACGATTAATGGGAATGGACCGCCCCTGCTGTCGTGAGAAATAGCACGACAGTTTTTCCCCAGAAGCCTGGAGTTGGGAGTTGCAGGTTTACTGTATATTGACTTACTGATTTAGTTAATCAAAACACTAGAATGAAGGATAAGAGGGAAATAATGAGCCACCATATATAGTAAATTTTCCCTCCGTTCATTCTCACTAGTAATGAGTTCAAGTGTTTCATGTGAACGTGCGGTCTTCGCCATAGCCTCCAGTGTTCCATTTATTTTCCCCTGATTTATTGTTTTCTTGCGGAGCAAAGCAGCGTTGTTCGTCAGCATTCCCTAAACTCAGAGGGGCTGGAATGTGGCTCTTTACTGACCCTGTTACATCTAATTTCAGAGGAAGTCCCTTACAGAAACATATATAAATGCTTTGATTTATCCACAGCTGAGCACCTCCTCAGGGGAACCTCAGCTAGCCGGCCTCCGTCTGCCCTCCAGAGGGTCTCCAACATGGACTCCACTAAGGCAATCTCAGGTTAGAGATGCTAGTAAAGTTACATGAACTTGTTATAAACCTTTTATAAACTAACTCAGTCACTAGTTTAGTAAAGAAAAGTCTAAAGTCTTCTCCCCTGTTCTGCGCAGTGTCCCGCCGGAGCAGTGAGGAGATAAAGAGGGACATGTCTGCTTCAGACGGGGCCTCCTCAACCTCCCTGTTGGCTATGAGTACTGCCTCCTCCCCGCTCTCCCTGTCCTCCTCCTCCCCCACCGCCTCCATCACTCCCACAGCACGCAGCCGCCTAAGGTATCACCTCCTGGGGCACTCACTCATCTGTATATTGTGCTCACACTTAACGTCAGTGTCTTTATTTTCAATCTCGGTTGACTGTGTGACGTCACCTCCTCTTACTGTAGTTTCGATTGGTCTGCTGACAAAACATACAGCCGGTGACAGCTTTCCTAGCTCACTTAGCAAACATGCTTACCATCTAATCTGTTTGTCTTACTGACATCGTAAATGTTTTAAAACTGTGTTTGTTTACATGTCCCTTCTGTGCGTCTGATACAGAGAAGAGAGAAAGGACCCACTGTCAGCACTGGCCAGAGAGTACGGAGGCTCCAAGAGAAATGCTTTGCTAAAGTGGTGCCAGAAGAAGACTGAGGGTTATCAGGTGGGTTCCTGTCTTGTCACTGGACGATACCAGCTGTCCAAAAGTGTCTATAACTCCTCTCTGATGGCTTTGGCAAAAACGGACAATAAAAAATAAACATATCCAACAGGCGTTGGAGTACTACTGAATATGTGAGAAAAGTAAGATAAAAGCAAGAAAAGAAAAGAGTAATTCATTCCTTCATGGCAGGATGGACTGCCCTGGATTAAATATGGCGACACAAATATGTATTTGTGGTGTGTCGCCAGTTCAGCGCAAAGATAACTAAAGAAAACAGTCTCTGGAGAGCTACAAGAACAGGCAGCAGCACAGAGAGCACAGTTTTCCTTCTACTGGGTATAAGCTTTATCATAGAATGATTAATTTCTGCTACATGTTTGAAATTGATCTTTATGTCTGTCTGGGTGCTTAGTTAATAATAATGCATTGTACAAAATATGAAAAGGAGGTAAACATTTTCTTTTATATTATTATTTTTGTTACTAGACCCATACACATTAACAAGAGGCTAATCATTTAATGTCTGGACAGTGAGAAAAATATTCATCTTGAACCCTGTCCCTGAGCAGAAAAGCTATGATCCTTAAAATTTCACTCCCGATTGATTAAGCAACACCTGTGGTTACTGGTGGTAACAGCAAGCACAGTTTCAAACTACAGCTCCCAGAATTCTGGAGGCAGGAAACGCTCTTTGAGCAGCTGTTTTATCAGAAATACAACAGGAAGAGGGACTGGTGTATCTGCTTACAATGTAACCAAACAAACTTGTTTTTATAAAGAAGTCGGTCAATAATCTTTTTCCATGAGGTCATGAGCGACCTCCATCTGATTGCATAAGACAGACGACATGAGGCGTTTTCCACATAACAGCAGGGCGCAGTAAGGAGGTGGTCACCTTGCTCAGGAGTTTGAGGAATGCAGCCTCTCTCCTTCAACTCTTCATCTAATGGCTTTCTGGCTTCTCCTTGTTGTTTCCCTGCAACATTTAAATCTGCTCAGCTGTCAAAAGATGCCGACAATGACCGTTGTCTTTGTATTTTGTGTAGAAATACTGGGTTTGCATTAACAGTAAACAGTGAGGTTGAACTTAATGAGTTATAATTAAAATAAGTAAAGCAGGATTACAGGCTGCATCATTTCCTGTGAGTCCCTTGTGCATAGCTAGGCAATTAGAATCCAGCTCCGGAAAGGTGGACTCTACACTAACAATGAAAACAACTTTATACAGATGTAATTGCAAAATGTAAATGCATTACAGGGCTGCAGGAAAAAATACCAACCACAAGTGTTATCAAAAAACAGAGTTTGATTTAAGGAATATCTTTAGGATTATAATTTTAACTCTCGAATCGTGGTGTGTCTCTTTCTTGGTCTTTTCTTGTCTTCCGGTTCGGTCTAGCGTGATGGTGTTGCTACGGATGCATAGCGTTGTGGTGACTGCTCTCTTATTTGTTGATTGTAGTGAGGCCTCAGACAGACCTGCTTAAATATGTGCAGACACAATAAATGCTGAAGCATTGACCTAGACTGGCACTACCACTCTGATGTAGGTTGTGGTTTTCATGACACCACCATGTTTTTCCGTGTAATGTGCAACATGTAACACATCCTGTCTGCCTGACAGATGATGATGAAAACACGATGCTTCTCTGACTTATTGTGTACTATCTAGATTGTAGTTGTGACACTGAGGAACTTTAGCATACATAAAACCTTAGTGGTTGTTTTGAACTCACATTTACAGCCCCTGCAAAGGTCAGATGACGGCTGATGGTGGAAAAGATTATTTTATTGCGCCATCCCATACCTATATTTTCAGCCTCACCCTAATCACCAAGGTGATTCCAGAGTGAAAGCGGGGGAGGTTACTTCATTAAATTTTTATAGTTCCATGTCTAAGTAGTCCCTTCTGGCTAAGATCTTTGAAGGTAAATGTTCAAAACCGTTTAAGGAGTTTATGTAAAAATGCCGGGGAGTCTGGGCTAGGTGTTAGCAAGGTATATTTTCTATTTCTAGCCTCTTATTTCATTCTCATTTCATTCTCCACCTTATTTAGTGTTTACTCACTAATTGAGTCTGCTCCCTTTCCCTTCATCTCCCCCCCACACACGCACACGCCTACACCTCTGCTGCAAACACACCGGCTTGTCTCGTCTCTTCCTGTCTTTCTCCCCCTGTATGTGTCTTCTCTGTTGACTTTCTTCATCAGCAGTATGTTTTATAAAGTCGCTGAAAAGACACAGAACTTGTTTTCTAGATTTTTCCACGCGCAATTCCATTTACAGCAGCAGGTGTGCCGCATGTAGAGGAGACTTGTTAACGATGTAGCCTATGAAACCAAATCAGTGTGGTAGCAAATGACATCCGGTGTGTTGACTGTCGCTTTACTAGGTCCGTGTTTATAAAATGTCCACCATGTCTGTGTCTGTAGGGATGGGGATCGAGAGCCGGTTCCAAAATTTCTGAAAACCTGAAAAGGTTCGAGCTTATCGATACTGCTATCAAGACTTGCGGGTCCTATGATGTACGCTAGCTTGGCATTAGCTAAATGTTAAAAACAAGCTAAATAGAAAGCTATCTGTCTGGAGCACAGACTGGTCTGTAGCCTTAAAAACTCAGCTGCTGGCTGAGACAAACCAGCCGCTCCACCTTCTACCTGGTAACGTTACCTGCAGCCAGGAGAGAGGAGGAGGGACTGATACAGACTGATGTTATTCTTTCTGAACGTCACTCACTACTTGTGATGTCAGATAAAGTTATTGAGTTACTTTGCTGTTGTAAACATTAATGTTGCTGCTCTAGAAACAACATTTAGCTGTATTTAAAATATTAAATTAAAGGCAGTTAATATGTACACTTCAATATATTTATTTATCGCAAGTGATATGTCATCTCAGTATGTAACGTTATCACACATTGAATATTTTCCTCATACCGTGCCGGCCTACCTCATGCCCGTTGGGTCTGGTCTTACCAAATAACCATCACTAAATAATAGTAAAGTATCGATAGTGGTATCTATAAAGAATTGGATCGTTAAGCAGTCTCAATAAGGGTATCTATATCAATAAAAATTAACGATCCCCATCCCTAGACTTGTGTCTGTGTTTCCCTGCAAAATGTTAAAATGGGTCACCAAATATACCTGGGGAGCCGTTAATATACCCCAAGTAAAGTTTATGTGTGGGGAAACACTGTTCTATCTGATCAGGCATGGTTAGGAAAGGTGTCATGGGAGGGTTTGGCCAAATTGTAGGCTGTGTCTAATATGATTCAGATTCAGCTTTCACAACTAAAGCTGGATTTAAATTCTGGTAAAACAAAGGTAATGCTAAGCCCAAAAAGCCTGTGAATACTTTTCATATTATTACTGCTCAAGGAAAGAAGTTTCAAGTTGTCTCGTGTTATAAATATCCCAGTATTTGGCTTGATGACAGCCTTTCTTTTCAAACCCCCGGCTGATAATCTTGTTAAAAAGATAAGATTGATGCTAGAGTTTTATTTCAGAAACAAGTCCTGTTTTTCCTTTATAGCCAGAAAAAGAGTGGTATCTGCTATGTTTTTTTGTTTTTTTACCGGTTCTTGATTACGCCGATCTATTAGTAAAATTAGTAAATATGGGTAAAATAAAAAAAAGAAGTGATATGGAAAAGTGATGTTGATATTCACTTCATATAAAATCCCCAGATTTTCATCATATTGAGCTGCTTTTCAATGTGGTTAAAGCTTTTTAAATGGTTCCATGAATTTATTGTGACTATAATATTGTTGACAGCCTGTAGTACACAGTGGCCGGCAGTGGTATCCATGACCTTCGATAAAATGTTGTACCCTCTATGCTCGGATAAGGCCCAGAAATAGTTTTTTAGTCCTGAACTGTAACTGTTCTGTCGAGTTGAATCAATGTTTTAACGGATCGTCACTTTATTTTTTCAGAACATTGATATCACAAACTTCAGCAGCAGCTGGAATGATGGCCTGGCCTTCTGCGCCGTTCTCCACACCTACCTGCCTGCACACATCCCCTACCAAGAGCTCACCAGCCAAGAGAAGGCAAGTAGAGCTCCCAGGAAAGGCCCGACCTGTAAGCCATTATGACCACACCATTACAGTTGTTAGAATACTGTCCACTGTGTTGAACTGTGACTCTCTCTCTACTTTTCTCAGAGGAGAAACTTCACCTTAGCATTCCAGGCTGCAGAGAGTGTGGGCATCAAATGCACTTTGGTAAGCTTTATCAGATTACTTTATTACGTGTGAGCAAAACCAAAATAAGAGAGACTATATATATTTTTTTCATCCTTTTCTGATATGCCACCCTAAATACATTTCAACCACTGACATTGCTAATTCGAATCATTAAGAGATGAACTACTGTATGTTTTGCAACTATACAATGTGTCATCCATAGTTATGCTTGTAACCTGCTGGTGTGTCAGTCATTACAAACAAAAGCTGTACAGCTAGACATTGTTTATACCCACAGAACTTTATTTTAAATTTCAGCCACACCTTGATCCATGGATGACGTTTGCTCAGTTATTATAGAGATGCTGCTTTGTTTCCATGTACACTCACCAAATTAATTCTTTATCTATAATAAAGTATGTCGTGTTTTTGGTGTGATAGAAATCTTCAGTTTAGCAGTTTTTGATCCTCCTTAACTGACTATTTCTCCATTCCAGGACATAAATGAGATGGTGCACACAGAGAGGCCAGACTGGCAAAGCGTCATGACTTATGTCACGGCCATCTACAAGTACTTTGAGACCTGACTTCACCATCTTCCCCTCCCTGTTCCTGCAGCACAATCAGAGCAAGCTCTCCTGAGCTCGCAGCAACCTTTCAACCCCGCTGTCAACTGTTATACCTCACACCCTCTCCCCCACACCACAGCGACACCCTGTCACGCTGCATGTCGGTCCACAGTATTTAGCGACACTAAAGGCAGACCAGAACCTCACTGGACACACAGCTAATCCATCCTCCCAGTGCAGCGTCAAAGGCGCTTTGTGTAGAGTTTGGGCTTTCCTGTATGTCTACCGTTACACTAGTAAGCCATGCCTCTGGTAGAAGCCTAGCGAACCAAGTATTAACTGACGAGCGATGAAATCCTGCAGATCACCTTTGCCTTCAGTTCACGTCTGAAGGAGCAGCAGGAAAAAGAAAACCAAGTCTCAGTGCCTTCTACCTGGCTTTTCCTGGCAAATAATATTCCTTCACAGTTAACCCAGTTTGCACGGTGTTAAGGGGGGAATTCCTGCAAATCCGATTTTCAACGTTCTTTGCAAGAGGATTCATTTTCATAAACGGTCACAATGTTTTTTCTTTTGTTGGTTGTGAATATTTTTGTGTAACTCATCAGCTTTCTAAAGAACAACAAACCAAACGAGCCAGTGATGTTGGAATTCCCCCCACAACCCTGAAAATCCCCATCGAAAGGAATTCAGACAGATGCAGCCTTTTTGCACGAAGTCTTCCAGACGTTACAGTATGATACAGATGCCTCTCTTTCAATGGAAAAAGTGCCTGTGTGGATTTTGATGCTGGAAACCAGGATATGAACACTCTCTGTGGGCCAATCGTGAAGATTTGAGGAGTTGTTGCCAAATATGTTTTCAGAGCCTTTTGATTTCAGCAGCACAAACACACTCATGATGGTTTTACACTAAAGGTCTCATGGACTGCTAATAATTTGATGTGTATGGAGTTGAACGCTAAACCATATAATGTGAGTGTTTGTGTTTTGTAGGCCTGCATTTGCCATCTTGCACTTAGACTTCTTTCAGTAGGCACATACAGCTCACTGCATCAGTTCATCATAAATATAAGTAGCATTTGTTTGTTTTTAATTATAAAATGTCTGTTGACTGAGTTCTGTTCAGATCAGAGAGCCTTAAACTTTATAAGCCTGGGACTCTAATTTGTGAAATAGCGTGTCACCCAGGGCCCTCATTTTGGGAGAATGTGCTCTAGTATTTGGAAACCAGCAGTGACAGATTCATAGGTGAAGACTCGCTTTATTTCAATGCAGCGTCTCATTAAAAAGGAATACTTCCGCTTATTAGGAAATACACTTATTTACTTTCTTGCCGAATTTGATATGACTTTCATGCCTGAACGTTAAATATAAAGCTAGAACCAGGAGATTTTGTGTGTTTGATGCTGATGTTGTGTTAGACATTTTTGAAATTAGTGTGAGTAACCATTACTATAGAGATCCTTTGTAGCACACAGTGTAATTTCATTTGTCTGATTTCAGTCAGCAACATTGATTTTTGTGGGTAACACTTTGGGTCCCCCTATTTAGTAAGCAGTATAAATACAATACATTATGCAGCTATAAGGACATTTAAGGCAGTTTTATATACACTTAAATCTGCTTACAACTACATTATAGTGTGTTATAGACCGTTTATTAAATGTTTATATACTGTTTGTAAATGCTAAACAGGGGGGACTTAAAACATAGTGTTGCCATGTAATGCTGTGTGAATGCTGTGAGTTTATTGTGCCTCAACATACCAAGTTCACTGTATTTATTTGCATGGATTCCAGACATTGTAGTGAGGTCATTGCTTTATTTGTGTGCCTGAAGTGTATATGAACATATCACACATACAGTTTAGTAGATGCACTGAGATAAGCTTTTTTTGTTTAACTCCACACCCATTTCCTGCCTTAACAGTTTCCGCGAGTGAACCTGACGCTTCAAACTCTGGCTATCTCAACCAGGCTATGTGTCACAGCGTGGAAATTTGTTTCTAAAACAAGGTCCATCTTGTTTGGGCCTCTTGATGAACACTAATAGAAAGTGACTGTGAGAAACTGGTTGGACGTGTCTGGTGAAGGTGACTGCACACTGTTGGTTTGGATCAGATGGGGCTGCCAAAGGGTATCCGTAGCAACATCAGAAGCAACATTTTTGTCTCGATTTTGAAGCACATCCTGCCGTGCCGTTTGCCAAGCCACCTTGTGACAATGTGTCCAGCTGCATTAGATATTCAGTGATTTAAAGTTAGCACAAGAGCCTCCAAAAAGGACAGTTCCTTTTTTTTTTTTGTGTACGAGAGAGTGCGAGTGAGTTATTTAATGGCATTTGAAAAAGCATTGGCTCTCTGTTGATAGGGCTTTGTGATGCTGAGGATTATCAGCCAATGTTTTTATTGTGTTTTGCTTGATTCCACCGCTGGCCCACATGTTTTATTGCTCCCGACAGGAACGTCTGAAAGCTACAGAAAGATCTGAAACCTCTCCGTCCTGGAAGTGGAATGTGTTTTGATCACGCTTTAGTGATCCTGGGACTTTACGAGGACCAGCGCATGTTGACGTGGAGTGATTGATGAACACTGAGCCCGGCCTGTTGAGGAGAGACCAGAGAGCTGGCAAAAGCTAGGAAGCACATTCCACCTCCACATGATACAGCCGTAAGGGACATGTTACAGTAGTGTTTGGGACCTGACGTGATGCCCTTTAAGTGTATAGCTTTACCACAGCGAGCAAAGCAAATGTGAACGGTGCATTATAGGGTCCTTTTTATCACTCTACATTTATTTTTCTTTTGGTTTACTTGAAAATGCTCTGAGAATTCCACTGAACCTGCTTAAGTTTGTTAACTTTTTGTTTCCGTGTTGCCTTTTTTACAATCCATGCTAGATATTGTTTTTGGTGAGGATTTTCTAAGAGAGTATCCTGATCACACTACATGCAGTGCTGAAATTGTCCCTTAGCAAAGAATAGAGCTGAATGAATAAATTTGTGTGTGTATGTGTAGGGACTAAGCTACAGTATTAAGTGCACACTATGATGATAATCAGTTGTAAAAAAAATTTATGCTGTTTGGATTTGTGGTGTTTTATTTTTTCTGGCAGTAGTTATAAAAGACCATTGAAACAGCCATGGTTGTTGTCATCAATCTCTTGGCTGGTATTCAACTTTACCTGTGTAAACGAAGTTACATGACACTCAGTATTGAATGCTGCATTTCATTGAAATGGCAATTACAGTGTAAGGAAATGTCTAGATAAACCAGATTACATTTTATTTAAAAAACTTCTAAGAAACTATCTTGATAAACCAGATTGTATTCCATTTAAACAACAATTAAAGTGAAAGTAAATCTCTAGATAAACCAGATTACATTTGGAAGGAAATGTCTAGATAAACCAGATTACATTTTATTTAGACAACGATTTAGGAAATGTCTAGATAAACCAGATTACATTTTATTTAAACAACAATTTAGGAAATGTCTAGATAAACCAGATTACATTTTATTTAAACAACAATTTAGGAAATGTCTAGATAAACCAGATTACATTTTATTTAGACAACGATTTAGGAAATGTCTAGATAAACCAGATTACATTTTATTTAAACAACAATTTAGGAAATGTCTAGATAAACCAGATTACATTTTATTTAGACAACGATTTAGGAAATGTCTAGATAAACCAGATTACATTTGGAAGGAAATGTCTAGATAAACCAGATTACATTTTATTTAGACAACGATTTAGGAAATGTCTAGATAAACCAGATTACATTTGGAAGGACATGTCTAGATAAACCAGATTACATTTGGAAGGAAATGTCTAGATAAACCAGATTACATTTGGAAGGAAATGTCTAGATAAACCAGATTACATTTGGAAGGAAATGTCTAGATAAACCAGATTACATTTTATTTAGACAACGATTTAGGAAATGTCTAGATAAACCAGATTACATTTTATTTAGACAACGATTTAGGAAATGTCTAGATAAACCAGATTACATTTGGAAGGACATGTCTAGATAAACCAGATTACATTTGGAAGGAAATGTCTAGATAAACCAGATTACATTTTATTTAGACAACGATTTAGGAAATGTCTAGATAAACCAGATTACATTTTATTTAAAAAACTTCTAAGAAACTATCTTGATAAACCAGATTGTATTCCATTTAAACAGCAATTAAAGTGAAAGTAAATCTCTAGATAAACCAGATTACATTTGGAAGGAAATGTCTAGATAATCTGTATTGAATTTCACTGAAACGGCGATTAGAGTGTAAGAAAATGTCAAGAGATACCAGATTGCATTTAATTTATACGGCGATTATAGTTCAAAAAAGAAAGTGTGTCATCAACACACTCATCTGTGTACACAACACATCCGCCCCCGGATAGGAAACAGATCGAGGCTCAATCAGGCTGAATATGTTTTATGAGGGAGGGGTGAGAGAGAGAGAGAGCGAGAGAGAGAGAGCGAGAGCCTCATCTGTCTCAGGTCATTCACTATAGAAGCGTTGTTACTCATCTCAGTGCGAGCAGGAGAAATTGATCCGACTTTGAATGCGTTTTAATTTCCTGCACTTAACAGCATTGTGAACTGAACTTAATAGAAGAAGTTTCACACTTAAAGGTTAGGCCTACTTGTCGCTCAGAGGGAAGTGAAAACGATCATTTGCGTGATATTTCTAGGTCGGACTTGGTTTTATCGCCTACAAAGTGCTTTCAGATATAGGCTGACATCTACATTCTGCCCGAAGGACATCAGCAAGAAAAGGTGAGTCCTTTTAATTAACAAAAAGTTTTGCACTGAATTAAAACCAATTAAAGTAATTGGATTTTGGACTGATTGATTGATAGACTGAATGCCTGCCTGCTATTCTTGCATTAAGTTTGGTCGGACCCCATGCACGCCCTGTTAACGTGCGGTTTGCGCAGCAGCACACAGCACACAGGCAGAACAAGGGAAAGCATCTGAAAGCACGAGGTAAATGTGTGACGAATGCGATGCAGTGATGTTTGGTACAAGATGTCCTACACTGGGTGTTGGGTTTCCTCACCTGTGAGAACAAAAGCGAGCAGAAATGAACCTGAAGAACGTAACAATTCAGTGAGAGTCTCCACATCATGCGTAGGAATTCCTGGCAGTTTCTGGAACTGCTGTTCATTTAAAAACAAACATGTAGGTCCTGGATTATAACTGATCATGTGAACCATGTGGGCAAATTGTTGAGTAGCCTTTCTAATGACAGGCTGGTTCAAGCTGTTAGGGGGTACTGGATCAAAAGTTTGCTGTTGGGCCCCTACTAACTAATAAAACAGGAAGTAATAATGCAACAGTACTGCAATACTTGTATTTATGCTGTACTTAAGTTGCAGTTTAATTTAAAAAACCTACATTTAATAAAAATACCAAAAATAAATTGACATGTAATGAACCTGGGGCTTTCCAGGGGCTTGGGGTTTACCTAGAAAAGAGTCAGGCAGGTTTAAATCAACCAGGTGTGGATCCGCAGCAAATCAAGTCTCAGTTGTGGGCCCTGTGTCAAAATGCAGCCTAAATGGTGCATATTTCAAATTGTGTTTGCAACAGAGACTCAGTGGGGGCTCTCAGCTACTTTTTGCTCCAGGGCCTTCTAGTGTGTTAATCTAAAAACAAACTGTTAAATGCTCGCACTGATGATTAGTCACCATGTTTTTACTCAGTGAGCCTACGTCTCTGTGTGGTCTATGTTTTCCCTGGCTGCAAGACAAATTTCCCCTCGGGGGGCAATAAATTAAAGGACCAGTGTGTAATATTTAGGGGGATATTGGCAGAAATGCAATATAATATTCTAAAGTATGTTTTCATTATAGTAACTGAAAATAAGAATCATTGTGTTTTTGTCACCTTAGAATGAGCCCTTTTTATCTACAGAGGGAGCGGGTCCTCTTCCACAGAGTCCACCATGTTGCACCGCCATGTTTGTACAATAGCCCAGAAAGGCGAGTTTCAGCCACCGTAGTTTCTCCTACATGCTTGGAACAGGAGCGTGAGGGGAGGGTTATCGGCTGGCTGCAATCTGCAACCTCATTGCTACATGCCACTAAATCCCACACACTGGACCTTTTTGAAGACCATGATTAGCTCATGGACACTTCAGTAGGGCAGTCTCTTGTCATCAGAGTTGCTCTTGCTAGAGGACAATCAACCCTAATCACTTTGTCCATCGGCACCGTATACCGACCTACAACCATGTCTGTTATCAGGTAGCTGAGAGTTTGGCATGTCAGAAGGACTATGCTCAAGTGATTTGATGTGTTCTTGATGATGCTGTAGGGTTTGGGGTTAATTAGTTTTAACTTTAATAGCCTTGTAAATTCGAATGATTAATTCACTTCCGAATTGCACCAAACATCTCAATCTGAATACAAAGAGTTTCAATTTCTGAGCAAAAATGTCGCTAGCCCAAGCCCTGCTTAAGAAAGACCTCACTTTGACTTGTTTCACGATAAATCCCTGGAGTTTCTCTGATGCGTTTCATTATGCCATCTCAGGACAGCTTGTTATTGTAGGATGCATTGCTAGCGTAGGGGAATGACTGTTTTCAGAGATTAATTTTTTCCTTTACTGTCCTCTGGGTTTTTTGTTTTGGATAAAACATTAAAATACACTGAAATATTACACCAAGCCTCTCTGACATCAAGACAAATGAACACCCTGGACTCAAACAAAAGCTTTATTTTTTTTAAGTCAAATTGATTGAACAAAACGACCTAGTAATAATTATCGACCTTGAAATAACAAGTCTTGGTATTAATAAAGAAGTCTCATCCAACCCAAAGGGAAAACCCTGACTCACAGAGCAAAGGCCTCGGTGTTCCACCACAGCTGTTATCTCCAAAAACACGACGTAATCCCAAGAAACATCCCCTCTGAGGGAATTCACCACCACAAAAACGTTCTGTCTGTGAAGCCTTTTATGGCCGATGGCGCACACATGCCAGGCAATCTAACTACACTTTGCGTCACTAATTGAGAATAGGCCAGGGGCCACACATATCAAACATCTAAGAATCACAAAATACCCTAAAGATCTACAGTAGCATAGGAGTCACAAGTTCTTCACTAAATGTGAATAAGATGCATTTATCCAGGGACGCTTACAGCTTACAAATCGAGCAATAGCTGCAACAGTTAGCTAAAACCACAAATTGGTCATCATGACCCATCATATATTATACAGACATTTCAAAACATGTAGAAGGTGTGTGTGTTCTCCTCTGTCTCTGTACTGTAGCCATAAAATAAGCCAACTGACGGCTCTAAAAGACCTCTTGAGCTATCTTAAATTTAAGTTCTTTTTCTTTAACCTGCATGAACCACTATCTATCACCTCCTAACATCGACATAACGCGCAAACGGTGGCGATTTATACATCCAGCAGACACAGAGTAACATTAGCATTCATTCCGTTGTGTTTCTGGCTACCTGGCATAGTTACTGCACAGGGTCACTGTAGCCCTATAGACAGGCCTTGACAGCTGTTTTCCGAGAGGTTCTTCAGATTTGTCTGATCAGATGTTGTACCAAATCTACATTCTATCGCAATATTATTAGAGCTGTGAGAGTGAACCAAAATAAAATAAAGTTATGGGCCCTAAAACCAAATCAACAACTTGAAAGACGTAACAATGCTCCGTCGACCTGAGGTTTTATTTTATTACCAAACTACACTGTGGTAATTGTATCTAGTGTTAATGGAAAAAAGATTGGTTTCACATCTAAAGGATTTCTTTAATACAGTAAACATTCATGACTAAACAAACTAATCAAATTTAATCTTTAATTGTTATTTATTATTAACACTCATCAGGACTGTGTGGGCGTGCTGTGATCAGATATGCCCGACACATTCTGATTCAAGTGTTGCTATAAACAGACTGCCCATTTGGAATGAGTGAGAAGAGCTCAGATAAAAACACAAATGCAGAAAACATTCAGGTGAAGAAACCAAAGCCTCTCTAACACAGAAAATTAGGTGCTCATGCTGGACACCACTGCCCATTGAGAGAGAGGTTCACTGACAAAATAGGCATTCAGGGCGAGTAGAAGTAAAAATGAAGGCTTTTCGCCTGTCACATATATTCAAAACGTAACTTTTAGCAGTTTGATGATACGGGTCCAGGTTGCAATACTTAAAAGTGAAACACTGGGAGCTCTGCTACGTGTATGTTCGACACTGACGAAGTCTACACAAACCGCTCTCCCACTGCTCCTCTGCAGGGTCAAGAGGGGCTATTTATAGAAAACATCGGCAACTCAAAGTCCCACAAAACACTCATGTGACTATTATTGCAGACTAAAATGAGTTTGTGACAAAGTTAATCTTCATATTGAATGGCCAAGTATTTGCACCAGAGGTTTCCACTTGTCAGAGCGTTGAAGCCTCTGAAAAAGTATTTAGATGTAATGCTCTTTAAAGCAGCTGGACCCCACCTACCCACTTATAGTGTGTAATTCTGAGAAACATTTATGCCTTTAAAAGGAAGAATTTATTTGATTAAAATAATCTGATAGAAACCAGGACGAACCTCCATTATAGAGAGGCCAATATGTGACATTTAATAATTCAGGTTCACCCTGGTGTTCTGCCAGACAAATACATTAGTCAATTCAGAGTAATAGAAGTCATATATGAAGAAATATTTCCTAAACCGCACATCATGTTTGACACAATCCTACTCTGAAAGATATCTGTTGCAAGATAGTTGTTCCTGTTGACATTCACTTCCTTTATTGTAAAATCATTTCCTCTTTTTCACTTCTGCACCTCTTTATCTCCAGCGACATTATGTTCCAGTGATGTGCGTTGTTGGCATCATCTCAGCCCCTCCAGAGGTTCATGGGAAAAAGCCACTGAGGGGAAGGACCTGAGGGGAGAGGACTGCAGATGAGCTTGTCACCAGGAGAGAATTGAGGCCACTGCGTATTTAGCGAATGCAGCTCCATGTGAAGTTGAATAAACCATTTTTTCTTCAGCATCTTGAGCTGAGCAGGTGTGAGGGAGCTGCCACAGCTGCTCGGGGGATCTGGTCTGGTGGATGTCTATGAGAGTTTTGCAGGCGAGGAGGCTGAGCTCAGCGGCTGCCAGGCTGCAGCTATGGTCGTTGAGGTGAGGTGTCCTCCCTCATCAGTGACCTCGCCGTTTGTCCCACCATGCCGGAAGACCCTGTCGCCTCCATCCTCTACATCATCCTGGAGCTGCTGATTGCTATGTTCTCCGTGCTGGGCAATGTGCTGGTCTGCTGGGCTGTGTGCCTCAACAGCAACCTGCAGAGCATCACCAACTTCTTTGTGGTGTCGCTGGCGGTAGCCGACATCGCCGTGGGCGTCCTGGCCATTCCCTTCGCCATTGTCATCAGCACCGGCTTCTGCTCCAACTTCTACGGCTGCCTGTTCATCGCCTGCTTTGTGCTGGTTCTCACCCAGAGCTCCATCTTCAGCCTGTTGGCCATCGCTATAGACCGGTACATTGCAATCAAGATCCCACTCAGGTCAGTGGCCCAGAGGAATTCTGAGTAGTTAGATGTGTGGCCGTGGATCCTCCTTATGCAGTTAGAGGAGAAAGATAAGTTGGCTTTATTAATGGTTTACAAATCATTTATGAAAGCTTTATAGGTCAGTTATAAGCTAAGAATAAAAAGCCATTAACAGCTGCAGTCTAGAGGGCTAATTAGAAAGGGAGAAAGTGCTGAGCATTTATTATGTACTACAAACATTTACAGCTGCATTAAAAACCACCAAAGGGATTATTCACAGCCTGGCAACCGAAAAGTAAAAAAAAAAAAGTTTATTAACTATTAATAAAACTATTAATAAACAGACTAGTTGAAATTTATAAACCCTTTATAAAGCATGCCTTTTTAGAAAGTTCTTAAGCTAAGGAAATAAAAATAAATGTGTTTTTGGGAAACAAAATAAGAACCTCAAGTGCGTGATTTAATATCCTTAAACAACAGAGAGTGCATTAAAAATGTGTCATAACTTGTTGTCTTGGCCTTTTCTTTCTTTTCTCAGCTTAGTCTCATGTATTTCTTAGTCCCAGGCAGAGGAGGAGATAAGTGTCTCCAGAAATGGCGTCTCCCACGAGGCCGTGTCCCCCTGGAGCAATCAAATGAATTTTGCTGTAATTGCTTATACAGGCCGTGTGACCCCCTGTGTAATCTTAACTTCATGATTTTTCTGTAAAAACACTGTGCTTGTCAGACTGTTCATGTTGAAAGTCAGCCTAGATTAGCTAAGGACGGTTTGTCCGTCACCCAGTGACACGCTGACCAGCAGTGATGCTGTAGCTCGAGACTGTGACCTCATCATACTAAAACACTGAACCTCAGATTCACATTGAGCTCAGCCTTCCTGTTTTCAGGACTCAAATGCGGGGTGGGGGGGCTTGTTTTTGCAGCATTAACCTTTGCACTTTAACATCTCAAGAATGTGATAGAAACAAGCAAAATATGTCAGCTGCTCTCCCACACTGCGCTACAGGCATTCTCAAAATAGTCTCTTCCTTTGCAGAGGGCTGAAAGACTTTGTTTGCTTATCTTTTCTCTTTTAGTTCCGGGAGGAGAAGTGCTTGCACAGAGCAATCAGCTGGGGAAATTATAAGTCATGGGGAACTTCAAATACTGTACACAAAAGATTATTAATTACAGTGCAGTCTTGCATCGAACATGAGATAATTGTTGGAAGCTTTCCGATAATGAATATAGACATTTTAGTATGACCTTTAATCTGTAACGTTCAGAGTTTTAAGCTGACAGACTGATGTTTCATATTGTCTCCCTCTCCAGGTACAACAGCTTGGTGACAGGCCAGCGGGCACAAGGCATCATCGCCATCTGCTGGGTTTTATCCATCATCATCGGCCTGACCCCCATGATGGGCTGGCACAAGCTGTCCGAGAGCGCCAACAGCACCTGCCCCCCCGGCCTGATGAAGTGCCTGTTTGAGGAGGTGGTGGTCATGGAGTATATGGTCTACTTCAACTTTTTTGCCTGTGTGCTGATTCCCCTGCTGCTGATGCTGGCCATCTACCTGTGTATCTTCATGGCCGCTCGCCACCAGCTCAAGCTGATGGAGGTGAAAGCCGTTCACGGAGAGAAGTCGCGCTCGACGCTGCAGAAGGAGGTGCAGGCTGCCAAGTCGCTGGCCATCATTGTCGGGCTGTTTGCAGTCTGCTGGCTGCCTTTACACATCATCAACTGCTTCACCCTCTTCTGCCCTCAGTGTGAGCGTCCTCCGCTCTGGATCATGTATGTGGCCATTATTCTCTCCCATGCCAACTCTGTGATCAACCCCTTTATCTACGCCTACCGCATCCGGGAGTTCCGACAAACCTTTCGTAAGATTATCCGCCGCCACATTCTGGGCCAGCGGGAGCGGTTTGAGAGTAGCAGCAGTATGCGCAACTCCACTCACAACAGCATCACTGACTCCATCAGACTCAAGGCAAACGGCCTCAGCTTTGACGTTTTTACTGAACACAACAGCTGCAGTAGCTGTGAAAGTTCTGTAGGGGGCGGTCTAGTGGCGGTATCCCAACCCCCTCTCTCAGTTGTCATCTCCCACTGTCCTAAGATGGGCTCTTGTCCACTGCAAGCCCTCAGACAGACTCAAATTCCCAGAGGTCAACATCTATAGCGTGCTGGCAAAGGTGTCCTAACACAGGAGCGGATCATTTACTAGTATTCAGGAGCCTTGCAGTAAAATGTCAATGTCAGCTCAGCAGCAGCTCTCAAAGGAAATGGGAGAACAGTAAGCAAATAATGGACAACGAATGTCACTGAGATAGCTCAAATCTCCTTGCTGTGAGAAACTGTCTCCACTATTTAAACAGTGATGTTTTAATTTAAACTAGACTAAAAGTCTAAAAGCACTGCTAGCTGCCCAAAGAGTTGTTCTGCTTCAAGACCCCCCACATGACCAAGAGTGGTTTGAATGGAATGAGGGACTGATGCCTGAAAGCAGGTCACACCTCAAAAATGGTTCTGCATTAAATGAATTAAACAAGAGCACAAAATCCTTGGCATTGTATTTGCAAATAGTTAGAGTTCAGTACGAATGCACTTTGACTGTTGAAATAGCTTAAACCCACCAAAGCTCAGCTCAATATGGAAAGAAGTGGGAGCATGGACCCATCACTCTCTTCAAACAAGAATGGAAAAGGCGATGATTGTCTTTTCAGGAAGTCGCTCCTGCAGGTAGAAATAATATATGATGGTTTCAATTTTTCAGGGATGTGGATATAAACGTACTCTGATGGATTTCAGCACAGAGCACCACCATGGTGTATGGGCAGAGCATTATTGCTTATGCAAGGCAAGGCAAGTTTATTTGTATAGCACATTTCAACAACAAGGTAATTCAAAGTGCTTTACATAAAATATAAAAGCAACAGGGAAATATAAAAAAGTTTAAAAGCAACATAGAGAAATTGAAAAAATACACATTAAAATATAAGTTACAGTGCAGTGTAAAATCAGGGTTAAAAGAGTTAAATGGAAAACAAAAACAGGCTGAGGGGTTGAGCAAATTATGATGCAGTACTGCATCATAATTTGCACCCCATCCTGAGGACCTGCCAGGTGCACAGACGGCGCCACCAGCCTGCTTAGCAACGTTCACCCTCATTTGCAGAAAATTAAACATTTTTCACATTCAGCATATTCCTTTGTAGTTCAGCCTCAACAGGAATGAATCGGTTCCGGTTTCATTTTTCACCGAGTTGCTCCCTGTTACTTTTGAATTCTTTCACCAGTGACAGGCTGGTTCAGGTTTGTGTCAATAGCGAAGTTAATGGTGTAATGCTGAAATAACCTTGTATTTTTGTTTGCTCAATGGGACAATGTGAATTGACTGTCCTTGTGTAAGTTATATTCATGTAAATGTTGACTTCTGAGATAGTTTGATGAATGATGGGAAATTATTTGAAGAGGACTGTGAATGCTTTTATTTTAGACTTAAATCAAACTCATGGAAGACACTTGTTTTTTATTTTTCCTGATAAATTCATCCTCAGTCCAGTGCAGCTATTGCCTTCTATGGAAGGCTAGCGAAAAGTCCTGTCTTTAAATAAATCCTTTTACTTTTTCAATGTGTACTTACAGTGTGGATTGATGCCGCTTGTGTGTCTGTACAATTAACGTGAAGCTAGAGTACAGCCAGCAGCCGGTTAGCTTAGCATAGAGACTGGAAAGAGAGGGGAAAAGCTAGCATGGCTCTGTCCAACTCAACACCTCAAAGCTCAATCATTTAAATGTAATTTCTTGTTTGTTTAATCTGTACAAAAGCCTGAGCTAAAACAATAAAGTTTCAGTTGAACATCTAAACAATGAGCTGAAACTCCACGTAAAGCTCTGTAAAACCAAGTAGAGCTGCAGATTCAGGAGGGTTATTTTCTATTGGGTCTGGCTATTTGGAACTAAGAAATGAATCTGTGGCGGGAAACAATATAGCCTCTTTTTTTCAGTCCGTCTTGACATCACTGTCCAACAACTATAAAATCCAGAGTGCCACTCTGTCTGTGTGGAGAGACTCCATGGATACAAACAACAGCAGACCCTTGTCCCCTTATTTAAAAGGCTTCAGCTGAAAAGGAGAAGAAGAGGAGGAGGAGGATGGATGTGTGTGTGTGTGTATGTGTTTACCATCTCTACATTATGCAGCCACTGCCTCAGAGCTGGGTCACAAAGTGTAGACCACAACACTGATCTAATTGCTGCGCTTTGTGCCACGTCCAGACGTGTCTCCCTGGGCTCTTGCTTTAAGCTAGTGACATTACAAGTGGAGCTTGGTTGCAGTCAGGACCAGAAAATGTTTGTCACCATACTGTTCGGAGGTTAGTAAAGTTCCTGGATATTTTTATTGTTCTCTGCTTGGCAAGTAGAAATAATTTAAACAACTTAGGATGTTGATGTAGAGTATTATTAAACATGGTGTTTAAAGTTTGATTATTTTATTTGTGTGGATGAGAGAACTTTTCTGCACATATTCAATATAGTGGTAAATAACCTGGTTTGTTTTACAAGTGAAAATGTGTGAATACAGGGAGAATGAGGGAGTCAAAATGCAATGTTTAATGTGCTGTGTTATATTTTTAAATAGATTTTTTTTATTCACAGACAGCAGGATGGAAATGTTCAACCTCAACTGTAAGCTGATAGACTTGATCCATCATTTAAAGGAGAGGTGTGGTCTGGATTTTAAAGGTACTTAACGGCACTAAGGTCTGAAACATCCAGGAATGAAACTAATCACATTCCTTTTTTCCCTTTTATCTCCCTATTGGGAGTGTAATGGAAACATAATTCATTTATTGAGTGACACCAAAAAGTCACTACTTTCACCTAGATTTTGGGTTTAAATACAAAATATTTTATCTTAAGTGCTCTAAAAAATGAAAATAAAATTCGCCCTGTAGAGTGTGTGGACCTGATGGACAGCAGTGGTAGAGTGATGAACCTGGAGGGGAAGCAGCAAAGTGTGGCTCTGGCCAGCAGCGTCCTGGTAGAGAGACACCACTACATCCTCCTGCGAGTGTGCCGTGAGTCTGTCTAGTTTTTCAAAACCTTGTTACAATCTCTGGCCTGAATAGTTTGATTGCCATTTCAGATTGTCCATTTAGAAAAAGGTCAGTGATAAGTTACAGCAAAGGCAATTTTTGGGGCTTTAAAATTATATTTACAGTTTTGGATAGTGAGTGATTTTAGTAGAGTTGTGTAGGTGTTTCTCGTGTGTGTGTGTGTGTGTGTGTGTGTGTATAGTTTTAAAGTAATTTTTTGGATTGGAGGTTATAGTAGCTAAAATTCTTGATTTGCTGCTCATGAAGGTTTTCTATAGAAACAAAAAAGCGTATTTAATTTAGTTTTTGGGGAAATGTCTCTGACAAACGTGCGCCTCCAGCTGTTTTACTACACATCAAAGTTCCTGACTTTACTTCCCTTCAGGAGATGGTGATACTGGAGATCGGAAATATGTGTCTCTCCTGAACAACTTCTCCCAGAGTCATCCTGAGTTGACAGGTAACAAAAACCACCAGCAGAGGACAAAACAGCTTCTTGACTGGAAGTGAACAGTGCAGACCAACCAACGGACGTGAAGTGGCTCTCTGGGGCCTCCTGTTGGTCAAACCTGTGTTTACAATTTAAATGAAACCCTTCTGTTGCAGAGCTGCTGAGGAAACTTTCAAAGCCAGACAAGGAGCGAGATGGAAAGACCAGAGGTGGACGAACACAGAGGAGCAAACAAACCAGGAGCAAAAGCATCTCTGCAAATAACAAGAGCCAAAAAATGAAATAGTTTCTACCTGAGTCATGACAAACTCTTAAGTCTGATTTCTGTACAAAATTTGAAACACATGAACAGACTAGATTTATCCTGTAGCTATACAAACAATCTATTAAATGCATCAGATATAGGTGTTTAGCAAATTTATGTTTTCTATTTTAGCGATATGTACTACCAACTGAGTAACTGTATTAGAAGAAGTTGTCTTCAATAAAACTAATGTGTGAATGCTATGAATAAAAACCACAGTGTCACACACACACACACACACACAGTTTCTGTGTCCAACTAAGCCTCCTGCTTGTGTGTTTGCTACACACTTGGCAATTATAGTGTTATTGCTAAACATATCTCCAGCACACAGGCTAAAAACAGAGAGGGGAAATAGTCCGGACTTCTGTTTATTTACCAGTCACATCTCCAATTATACACAAGGGAGAATGAAGCACTGAAGAAAGAAAACTCAAACTAGATATACTAGATATATTAGCTGATTAAACAAATATGTGACCATGACAAGATGTAAAGATTGCTGACAGTGTTTGGAACTGGCTCACTATGAATGACCTGCTGTAGTGCTGCAGCTGCTGCCAAGGCTGACTGCTACGAGAAAATAAGAGCTCACAGAGACTGCTGCACACCGAGAGCTGCAGGTAGTGAAAACAAAATACCAGATTCAAGAAAGTGTGGGAAATAATCTGAGAACGAAACTGTACTGTGAGAAAGGATGAGGTTGGCCAAGGCAGGGGTAAGAGTGAGACAAATCTATAGACAGGTGTGTGTGGGTGTGTGTCTATAGGCAATATTTATTAATATTTATTGAATTTATATGCTGCATTGTGAATCTGAGATATATTTGGATTTTTGGACCATGACAGAGTGGCATTTACCTTTCACATTAACATTTCATACCTTTTTCTGAGATCTCATTGGGCCATTTCTTCTTCAATCTTTACTTTGATGTCAGGAATATTATTTCTTTTACATTGACACTGACATTATTATATGTATTTCCAGTTATTTAGTTTATATAGTAGGTTTGCTGTTGTAAACACAGTTTAAATGTAGGCTAAATCTATTCCAATACAGTTCTGAATTAAATGATCATTTTAAAAAAATGGCTGATAAGTGGTAAGATTACATTTTTCATTGACAAAAGGGCACTTTGGGCATCAAAGGGCACAAGTGCAACTGATCAGAATCAATCGGTTGTTTTAAACAAAGTTAAATTGCACTGTAACTTCAAGCTCAGCATAAGAAACATTTGTATCCTGATCCTGACCAAGATCAGCAACTATGGCATGAAGATAATATAGTTCTGCTTCAGATTTACCAAAATCTTATATTAGTCCAATAGACAACAGCAGAAGAAATATCAAAAAACGGTGGAATAAATAAAGTAAAAGTCCTGCAATCAAAGTTGTACTTAAGTACAGAAGTATTAGCTGAAACATAAAAGTAAATTAAGAAAAATTAAAAACAAAAGTTATCAAAAAAAAGTCATATGTATTACTGTGGCATTATGTATAATTGGGTGTGTCATTCTGTATTACAGTTTTTGTCAATTGCTTATATGTGTTTTTTTGAAAGCATGACTCATTTCCTAAAAACTCAAAGCCAACTCCACATTCAAAACAATGTTATGTCTTCTCAAAATGATATTTTGTCTTCAAATGACACACACCAAATGGATAAGCATTTCTAAGAACCAATTCAGCACTGACGTGCTCAATGTAAAACACTACTGAGCAGGCGTTTTGCATTGTCAGTGTTACACTGCACTGCGGGGCAGCTGCGGCTCAGGAGGTAGAACAGTCATCCGCTAACCGGAAGGTTGGTGGTTTGATCCCTGGCTACCCCAGTCTACATGTTGAAGTGTGCTTGGGCAAGACGCTGACCCCTATTAATCCTGGTGGCTCTGCCATATGTGTGAATGTTATTGCTGCCATCAGTATGAATGTGACACAGTGGTTGTAAAGACTTGAAAGGTGCTATAGTACAGACGATTTACAGCCCACCCTGTTGTATACACACAAATACAAGAATAAAATGTTTTTTTATTCTGAAATATGTGTCTGCAAACACAGTTGGATTTAGAAAGTGTTCTTCACACAGATACAGAACAGATACAGAACAATAATAAAAAATACAGATTAAGCCTTTTGAATACTGGAAAGAAAAGGTTTTGCTCTGGTCACAGCACCACAGAAGAACTTGCCTGAACTTGGCCCTTTTACAGTAGGCTAAAGCTCTGGTTGCCTATTGAACACATGTGCAACACGTGTTTGCCCATGTGAGGAGTCAGAGTGGACAGCATACAAATTAAGTTCAACATTAAGAATTAATCACTTCAGTTTAGCTGCTTCAGTTTCAGGGTGAGGGTGCAGTGCATGCTGGTTCACTGCTACATACACTGTCATGGTTTATTGGCTTCATATGATTATTTACACCTGTGCTTTTCAGTCAAAATGTCCTCTGTGAAAACGGCTTATAGCCTACATCATATTCATATGCTCAATAGTTTTATAAAATCAGAATCTGCAAAGTAAATAGTATCTGCAGCTGTCAGCAAATGTAGATAAAGGTTTCCCTGTAACTTAACCTACTTACAGTGTTTGGGTAGACGCATTAGATTTTTGTGTGTGTGCGGGTTTGGAGTGAACATGACATTATACACGCATGCGCGCGGGCGGGGAGAGGGGGCGCGCTGTGTTAATTAATGACCCGACCTCCCTGTCAGCGGCCCCTGTAGAGACTCTGTTGGCTCTTCTTCTCAAAATCCTGAATCGCGTCAGACAACGTGTAAACTCTTGTGATTATTTCAGCAGTGTAACAGGTAAAACAGCAGACACTGAGCAGCGCTGCAGACCCAAAGAAACCGCACAAATGTCCGTAAGTGGGTTTGAATCGCTGGAGACCTCTCTGGAGTCGCACCTGCCAGAGGCCGAGCTCGCAGAGGTTAAACGCATTTTGTTCGGAAGGGAGACAAAGTGAGTGTTTCTGAACCATCATATTATTTTCTCTTTTACCGTGCTTTTTCTGCACACTTTGTTCCTGGTAAATGATTATTCTGCTGACTGAACTTCGATCCGTTTTGTAATAGATGCAGCAAGGACGTAGCCATGGAGTCGACACTGGGACGTGTGATTTAGAATTTAAAAACTAATTTCCTGTCAATGTAAAATATTAAAAAAATCACACATGGGATGAACTAATAGTGGATTGCATTACTCTGGTTTTTCTTTCTTCTTTGTATTCCTCATAGGAATATTATTAATATTAATAAATGTATTTATTTGCCCTATTATTTATTTATTTATTAATATTAACAAATTATTTTGTGTATAGGTCACTTAGACAGACAGGAAGAGCAAATAAATTATTAAAAGGAGGGAGGAAGTTACTTTACATTAACCTAATAAATTTCACTCTAATACTGGAAATGGTTGTCCCCCTGGTTAAATAAATCTATGTTGTGAACATCAGTAATCTCTCCTAGAATATTTTATTCATTGTCGAAATTCAGAATGTAGTATTTGCTGATCCTGGCCAATACACATGCCAAAATGTGAATAAGTGGAGTACTGACATTTATTTGTTTCCACTACAAGCAAGCAGCAAATTGTTGTTTTTATTTAAGTAAATTCGGGTGGGAAGCAGGAGTGTTTGCTCTCCTCTAATTTTCTCCTCTCATCATACCTTGCCCTATTACCTCTTACTTATTTTTTGCGAATATGCAATACATGAAAGCTACTGCTGTCCATATAAATTACACTATGATTTGACTGTCTGAGAAAAATACACAAAAACCAAGGTGGCAAAGGTTTTGCGTACTTTTCACTGTTGACTTTAAGGCCTGAGAGACGGTGTATTTTAACATTGTGCTCAGTTACTACATGGAATTCATGTTCCTATCTTGTTGTTTGGGTGTCTAATATTTGAACACTCGTGAATAATCTTCTCTGTTACAGGAAGTTGGCCCTCCCCGAAAGCGCTTTGCATGCAGCCTCTGAGCGTAACTTTGAGCTGAAGGGTTACATGTTTGAAGCTGGACAGGAACAGCTGAGGCCACCCAGAAGGATCCGTGTGGGACTCATTCAGAACTGCATTGTTCTGCCCACTGATGCCCCCGTCTTGGACCAGGTCAGGACTCAGACACGTTATTTAACTAACGAAACGTGCAAACAGACCTGTTGGTGGTACAGTAGCAGTGTGGTACACACTGATGGGATTTTGTACGACGTGATAGAATGAGTTTCTTCTGTTCAGGTAAAAATGAACTGCTACAAATCCTTCTCCCTGTCTCCCTCCACAGATCAATGCCATGCATAGTCGAATTGGTGAAATGGTTGAGGTAGCAGCCATGTGCGGGGTAAACATTGTCTGCTTTCAGGAGACCTGGAGTGAGTGCTTCATGAGTCCGAACTACATCAGTTATCCATTGCATGTACATATTAGCCAGTAAACGAGACCAACCTGTGTTTTAGACATGCCCTTTGCTTTCTGCACCCGCGAGAAAGAACCATGGACCGAGTTTGCAGAGACTGCTGAAGAAGGAATGACCACGCGCTTCTGCCAAGAGGTAAGATTACAGAGGGCCGACACAGTGCATTGACATGCTTCAGTACTGAACACAAGCCGAATAATCACTGTAATTCTGTCATTAGCTGGCCAGAAAGTACAACATGGTAGTTGTTTCTCCAATTTTGGAGCGAGAAGAGCCGCACAACACTCTGTGGAACACAGCGGTGGTGATCTCCAACTCTGGAAATGTGCTGGGAAAGAGCAGGAAGAACCATATTCCCAGGATTGGAGACTTTAATGAGGTTAGTGTGTGATTTCCACTAGACTATGATACACTGCATCTGCATGAAATCAGGCAAACTGCTATGTTCCCTATGTTTGTGCTATTTTATTTTTTTAGTCTACATATTATATGGAGGGCAACACTGGCCACACAGTGTTCCAGACACAGTTTGGGAAGATAGCGGTGAATATCTGCTACGGGCGGCATCACCCTCTCAACTGGTTCATGTACAGCATGAATGGAGCCGAAATCATCTTTAACCCCTCAGCTACTGTTGGAGCTCTGAGGTAATGCACAAAAGGTAGTAAGTATTATTTCTGACATGCTGTATTAGCAATTGCCCTGAGGAAAAAATAGCTGGGCTCCCAACACCCTCTTTCTCCCCCTCTCTTCGCACTATGTACACTCTTCCTATGCTTGAATATTATGTGGCCCCTGCAGGGGAATTTTCTTTGTAGGCTTAATTCAGGTGTTGTGTTCAGATTGAGGTGACCTTGCAGGGAAAGCCCATAAACACTGAGGGAAAGACAGAGTGTGGACCAAAGAAGGCCTCTTCTCTTGTTAGAAAAGCACATGTACATGTTTACATCAACAATAATGTTTTTTATTCTCTACAGTGAACCAATGTGGCCTATAGAGGCCAGGAATGCAGCAATAGCTAACCACTGTTTCACTTGTGCAATCAACCGTGTTGGGACGGTAAGTCAGTCTCTATAACTGCAATCATACATGTAGGGTTTCTTTTGGTGAATGCTACAAAAATACAGACTATTGACATTGAAAGTTACACATAGCAATAGGTAGTGAAGCGTCCCACATCCCCGAAACTGACGTGAGCTCAGTGTCAGTGGAAGCTATGGTGTCTCAACTCAGCTGCTGAACAACCACTGTTTGGAGCTTGTGTGACATTGTGTGCATTGTTGTATTTCACACAGGAACATTTCAAAAGTGAATTCACATCTGGTGATGGAAAAAAAGGTGAGAGATTTAATTCCTAGAACTTTCATGAACTTGTATGATGAACTGTGAGGAGCTGAATCAAAATGTGCAGTTTATTTTTAAGGATAACCTGAATATTACTCAGCACAGAAACACGTAATCCTGTAACGTGTCTAGTATACCAGACCAAACCTGGCTTATTGAAAATGAAATACATTAATTAAATGATTAAATGGCCAAATAAACTGAGAAAATCAGGAATATAAAATTAATAAATGTGTAGTCTTAAAATGTTGCAGTATTTGTTTTATCTATCAGTTAATTTTTCCCTCCCAGTCAGTCATGTTTAGTCTGTAAAGTAGGGTAACCTGGGGTAAGACACCCCCTCATGGTGATTCTAACAAAAACACAATTTTTTTTCTCAACATTTCTTCTGGCTCACCCTTTTCTCACTGAAATAAAAATGTTCTCTGTTTCATCACAATGTTTGAAGTTATTTGATCAAAGCCATTCTGACCCAAGCTTTTTTTAAAATTATTATATTATATATTTATTATTGTATATTTATATTAAGGGGAGCCTTAAGATGAGTTATGCGATTGTTTGGAGAGAAAGATTTTTATAGTTTTTAGTTAAAGTAGTGAAATGCTAGATTAGTATGTTTGGGATAAGACGTCCCCCCGGTCACCTTGCCCCTTTATAGCTGATCGTTTGTTTAGATGTTACTCACTGGACAGGTTAGTTACCGTCTTAGGAAGGGCGTCTTACCCGAAGCTACCCTACATATAGTAAGAACCTGTTACTAGCAGGGGGAATTATTTTAGTTAGTTAAGTTTAAGTTACAGACAGCGCTCTTGACTTTTACAGCCCACCATGACTTTGGACACTTCTATGGATCCAGTTATGTGGCTGCTCCTGACGGCAGCCGCACCCCGGGGCTCTCTAGGACCTGTGACGGACTACTGGTGGTAGAAATGGATCTCAACCTGAACAGACAAATCAGCGACAAATGGAGTTTCAAGGTAACTACACTCACCAGCCACTGTATTAGGTACACCTTGCTAATACCTGGTCGGACCCCCTTTTGCCTTCAGAACTGCCTTAATTCTTCGTTGGAAACATTCCTCAGAGACTTTGGATCCATATTGACATGATAGCATTACGCGTTTGCTGCAGATTTGTCGGCTGCGCATCCATGATGCGAATCTCCTGTTACACCACATCCTAAAGGTGCTCTGTTGGACTGAGATCTGGTGACTGGGGAGGCCACTGGAGTACAGTGAACTCATTTTTATGTTCAAGAAACCAGTTTGAGATGATTTGAGCTTTGTGACATGGTGCATTATCCTGCTGGAAGTAGCTATCAGAAGATGGGTATACTGTGATCATAAAGGGATAGACGTGGTCAGCAGCAGTACTATGTAGTAGTACGTCACATTTAACGATGCTCAATTGGTATTAAGGGGCCAAAAGTGTGCAAAAAATATCCCCCACACCACCACCAGCCTGACCCTTTGATATAAGGCAGGATGGATCCATTCTTTCATGTTGTTGCCAAATTCTGACCCTACCATCTGAATGTCGAGACTCATCAGACCAGGAAACGTTTTTCCAATCTTCGATTGTCCACTTTTGGTGAGCCTGTGTGAAATGTAGTTTCCTGAAATTCAGTTTCCATAGCTGACAGGAGTGGTCTTCAGCTGCTGTAGCCCATCTGCTTCAAGGTTCGACGTGTTGCGCGTTCAGAGATGGTATTCTGCATACCCTGGTTGTAACGAGTGGTTATTTGAGTTACTGTTGCCTTTCTGTCATCTTGAACCAGTCTGCCCATTCTCCTCTGACATTAACGAGGCATTTTTGTCCACACAACCGCCACTCACTGGATATTTTCTCTTTTTCTGAACAATCTCTGTAAACCCTAAAGATGGTTGTACGTGAAAATCCCAGTAGATAAGCAGTTTGTGAAATACTCAGACCAGCCCGTCTGGCACCAGCAACCATGCCATGTTAAAAGTCACTTAATCCCCTTTCTTCCCCATTCTGATGCTCGGTTTGAACTTCAGGAAGGTGTCTTGACTACGTCTGCATGCAAAAATGCATTGAGTTGCTGCCATGTGATTGGCTGATGAGCTATTTATGTTAACAAGCAATTGCACAGGTGTACCTAATAAAGGGGCCGGTAAGTGGATAAGTGGGCTTAACATAAGCAGCAGCCTCACTGTAAGTCCCGTTTTAATATCCATTAAGAAAGGCTGTGTGTGTTTGTTCTTGAAGCGATTGCATGGTTGTATATTGCACATACTTGCTAAAGACACAAAGGTTTTTGGCTCAAATATAATCTGTTCTCCAGGACTACTGTTAATCTACCTGTTCACTGTACTTTTCTTTGCAGATGACTGGGCGGTATGCTGAGTATGCAGAGGAACTCGCCAAGGCTGTCAGACATGACTTCAAACCAAACATAGTAAAAGAGTAGATGATATTCCACTATAGTCCTTAAATGTATGAAACACACCAAGCTAAGGCCGTTTCTTTTTGTTTAACATTCTGTGTTTGTCAGATTGGTTCCACTGTGTTGTTTCCATCACTTTATCACAGAAAAGCAATTTCAAAGTCAAACAAAGGGCCTGTTCATTATAGGTGATAACGAACTCATTTTAAGATTGATTAAAGAAAGACTTTAGCAGCTGAATGTATAGAGGGTATGCGTTGACACTTCCCCTTCCGGAACACGCTGGACTGAGTGGCAAAATATCTGTTACCATGGCTGCATTTAGCAAACCAAGAGTAAAACAAGTGATTATTTGCATAAATTAAAGGCATTCGGACTCGACGGTGATCCTTACTGCTTACCAAGGAACCAGTGATCCAGCTCTTTCCCACTTTAGATGTGATGTTTGTGTTTTAGCTGATTCAAGCTAACACTGCTGCTCATCTTTCTGCCACTCAGTGAGTGTAACTGCGTTCTGTGACATCATGCGCATACCCTCTATTGAATTGACCAAGGGTTTGTTTTATTGCATATGAATTCAACTTTTATAAATTTATATAATATGTAAAATAAGTTAATAAAAAGTTGATATCATTAATTTAAAGGAGAGCATCTAGGCTATTTTTGCTGAACACTTTCATGATTGTATGCGCATGTAGAAAATGTTTGAGCTTGAGGTCTCCCTCATTTTCCAGTCAGCTTTGTAGCACCTGTTTAAGCAGGGGCAAAAAATCATTGTTTTTAGCGCAGAGTTTGGTGACCTCACGTAATTACTCACATTACAGACTTACTTTGGGATATCTACTTTAAGAGATTTTAGGTATTATTTCATATTTAGACTATGCTTTAGAAAGATACAGTAGCTTCCTCAGCTGACTACTGCTACTTACTGATGTACTTCATGATTAATGAACTTGTCCTCCAAAGAACCAAGTGAGCTAGACAAGAATTGATCATACTAGCTGGCTAATATGATAGCCCACATTAATAAATCACATATGAAAAACAAGGCCCAGGCCTATTTTTATCCTCTCTATCTGGCAAAACGTTATAGTTAAAGTGCCTCATTAAATACTCATTTTGACTGAAGAAAATGACATGGATGGAGCATATGTTCAAATCCTTTAATTACAACATAATAAATGCAGCTCTATGTGTAATAAAAAATAAAGTTTGTGGTTTAAAACGCCCTGTTCTGACCAAAGAGCACAGTCAGGAAGAGATCACTTATCAGAGGTTCAGAGAAGTAAAATCTTTCATTTAAATAACAATTATGTCTGGTTTGAAAAGAGTAGTGCAAAAACATAATAGACACAATACCAAAATTAACAAATAATTATGAGCAAATAACCTTCTGCTTTCTTTCAGCAGAACATTATCGAGTCAAATATTATACCTTTGTTCTGCCACATGAACAAACATGGAATATCCATCAATCCAGCAAGTTACCACGACACCAAAACACACAAGATGCCCCCCCCCCCGCCCCCCGCCCCGTGAAATGAATGTTCAAGTGTCAGTAGGTCAATCCACTCTCCTTTTACAGGCAGCAGGCAGACTGTGTTCCATAGACAGACTATGGAATATTGCATTGAATTAGTTGTCTTTTGATGCGCATGTCAGGGCATTAATTACCTGAGACTCTTAAAAACACAACTACTTCCTTTATTCCCTGTTGATAAAATCATCAGAAAAAAAAGTGACTGAGAGGTGAGTTAGGATTTTTTTTTAAAGGCAAGTGTAGGTGATGTTTCAGACTGAACAGAACAAATAGATTTGATATACTAAATGTTGGCATCATCAGCCCTGAATTATGTGCACACTACTTCCTGTTAATTCCTATTGTATGTCATGATTCCCACATTTCATCCACTGTAGTTTCACAAGTACTCAACAGTTAAGAGATTTCAACAGCTCCAATACATGAGCAACCACAGTAATTAAAATTTAACACACGCAATAAAATTCATGTGAACGCATCTGCTCATCTCAAAAAGGGAGGGGGAGAGAAAACACAGATTGCTGAACCTCCCACCTCCTTCACAGATCGAGCATTGCTGACTGTGTAAGAGGGAATAAGAGCGGTGATTCTGCAGTACTTTTCATGTGAGCAGTTGGGCTTATTAGCACCGGAGAGTAAGGCCCGGGGGATCTGCAACAACAGGATGAGCCACTAGTCCAAGACTGTTGACCTGCAGCATCATGCCACTATAATGATGAGCCGAAGAAGAGTGAAATCCAAATTCACCATCACAGTCCATCAACTCTCCTTAAAGATGAACAGGATATCCTCATCTGTCCCATAGCTCCGCCGAGCCTCCTCAAAGTTACTGATGCTGGTGCAGCACACCCCTGATTAAAACACACGTGCACACAAACACACAGTCAAAAGATATAACTTTCTTCCATTTTTAGCTCCCATCAGTCTGTTGTCTGTGGTCGGTCCACCACAACAAAACAAGCATTAGATGAATGCCATGAAATTTGGTACAAACATTCATGGTTCCTAGATAATTACTTTGGTGATCCCTTGACTTTCCCTCTAGCGCCGCCATGAGGTTCACATTTGGTGTTTTGTGTGAAATGCCAACAACTATCTGATTGCCATGAAGTTCAGACATCTATGTCCCCCAAAGGATGAGTTTTAATAGGTGCTTTCGACTTGATAGTCGGAGCTGCAGGCGACTGCAGGGATGGGGAGTAAAAACGGCGCTGTCAAGTCCGACACGATCGACCTGTGTGAGCTTAGGCTTGTGCAGACTACATGACTTTCAGCGTCGGCTGATGGCCGTGCTGTTCAGACTACACAACTTGCCAACTTGTGACGGGAGTCTTGAAGTCGTTGTGGTGTTCACACTACGCGACTGATCAGTGACAGGGACACACACTACACGAGCTGACAAGGACTCTGTCACCCGACGCTGGACACACGTGAAATGTGAAACGTGAAATGTGGCGAAACTACACAGGAAACAGCTGTTGTCTGTTATCAGAAAGATACCAATACCAAAGACAAAAAATATGGGTGAAAGAATGGATTAGCACATGCAGGTAGCAGGGATTGTCTGAGCTACAGAGAGAGCTGGAGGGGAGTAAAAAGTGTTTTGCGGTGAAAAAGTAGCTGCCTGCTCTCATTGGCTGGATGTGGATGTTGAGTCGGCCAACTCCAGATTAAAGATTGAAAATTTGGCATGCTAGATATCTGGCAGATGTCGGCGTTGTGTCACAAATGTGTCGGGGAGCCGTTTTGATGCATCGTTGAGTAGTTCACACTTAAGGATTGGCAACCGACAATCTACCGCTGATTTACTCCCGATCACAGCCTGACGATCGCTGAGATCTCTGACCGGGCAAATCGGGCGAAAAATCGTGTAGTGTGAACTAGGCTTTAGTCTTGTTATGCAATGCAAATTGACTGATGATTTTGCATCAATTAAACTTTGTATTTTTAATCCTAAATTATTTAAAATTACAAATACGTCTTTCAAGTAGTGAGAGCCCAATGGTGAGGTCTTCATATTGTTTGTTTGGTCTGACCAATATTCCAAAAGCCAAACTGTTATTCAATTAACTAACGTTAACATCTAAAATGGAGAAACTACAAATTGCAAATGCATTTATGACCTGATGGATGATTTAGAAAATTACGAGTTTCAAAAGTGTTGCCATTTATTTTTCTGTTGATTAACTTATTGATTAATCCATTAATTGTTTCAGTGCTAATTTAAAAAGAAACCTAAAATCCCTTTAATTATTTCAAAAAAGACAACAGGCATCCAAGTCCTGGTGTAATTTCTAACACTTCATGGCATTATACTTTAAAACCAGTGACATTTAGTTTTAGAATGACTGTTTTTTCTTTGAAATAAACTTCTGCCACATTGTGCTTGTGCTCTGGACACATACGATTACTCACGGTCAGAATATGCAGGATTGTTGTAGAAAATACAGCCAGTGGTCCTGTTGAAGCCGCACACTACCACAAAGTGACCCTGGTACTCCGGCTTCCTGCAGAAACACTTCTGACCCACGGGCAGGAAGCAGCAGTACTTCACAGGCGAGGAGCAGAGTTCACAAGTCAAGACGACAGCGTTGACCAGCACTATGGCAACGTGGCCCTGCTCCAGATGAGACTGGATTTCCTGAACCGTCACAGAACTACAGAAAGATAACCACAGATACATTTCAGGTGTTAGATTTACTTTGTCCAAGGTGGACTGTCCAAGTTAATAAGAATTAACGGGAAACTCACCATTTCTTCATCACCACACCTTTGCTATCTGCTTTAAGGAAGAGCTCGTTCACTCTGTCTTCTTCTGTTTCAAAGTGTTTCTTGTAAAAGGACTGCAAATCATACAAAAAGACAATGAAGAAATTATTACACACCAAAACTAGAAATAAAATCAGTATCTGTACTGATCGCTTACTCAGCAAAGTACCTGATTCCTAAATCCCTTATCAACGCCCAGAGTCTGTGTGCAAAAGCAGTGTTTGATTCCTAGATGGCACATGAGGTAGGCCAGGTCAATAGTCCACACACTCTCTGTCAGCTTCAGCTCCCAGCATGCTCTCTGAAACTCCTCATCACTGACTGGATGGAGGTACCTGCAAGAATCGGACAGTTCCAGACTGTGACTCCCCGTGGGTTAACTGTAGTGCACCTGTGTTACACCACACAGGTCAAGCGGGTGCATGCAACTAGGTAGTACAGTTTAAATGTCATCGAGAGGTTTTATTAAAAGACATTTGGCCGAGTACACAATGCAAAAACATTGGCACTTACTTCAGGACCATCCTGGAGCAGGCTAACCCACAGTCCCAGTGGTACAGCTGCCGAATGACAGGTACATTCAGCAAGACGGCATCCTCTGAGGAAACCGGAGTGGGGTTAATATTAAACACTTGAACAACGTTTCATTAACGATGCTACCAAAAAATGTTGGCTCAAAGTATTAAGCCAGTATGGCGTCACTCACCTGTCATTCTGTTGTATTCTTGCTCAGACCAACTAGCTAACTGAAGACAAGCTGGTCAGTGTTGTTTACAGCACTTACGCCGGGGGTGGGTTTCCTCATCGATGCTGACTAGAAGAAACCAGCTGCCCAACTGCGAGTTTAGCTGTCAGGCTAACACAGTATTAACTAGACTGCTGGCCGGTTCGTTGCTTATCAAGGCTAGTTCCTCGATGTACACCACTGCTAGACGTGCATTACTAACGTTAGTTAACGAACCAAAAGCTGGATACAAGTTATAAAAATCCTATTTTAGCACGTTTATTTTTTTTTTAACTATGCCTCTGTCTAAAAGCTCTTCTGCTTCCCCTCCCTGTTAGCTAGCATGCTGAGAAGCCGTTTCTTCTTCTTTTGATTTGATTGGCGGTTGGCAACCAGCATTTAGGAGCATTACTGCCATCTACCGGACTGGAGTGACAGATGATTTGCAGACTAGCCAAAAACGAAAAAAACTAACAAACAAACAAATAAACAAAAAAATTAAAACCTATATCCTCTCTATTAATTCCGTATCCTTCAGATATTTCATGAGGTTCTTAGATATTCCACATGCTTTATCCCCAAGGATGTTCTCGACAGTGAAAGTAAGCTTAGCTTTCTCTACAACTGCTGCTATTTTCCTCCTCGCCTCCACATAGCCCCTACACTCAACCAGCACATGTTGTATTGTCTCTAAACTATTACATTTTGCACAGTATCCAGTTAGGCGTTTACCTATTTTATAAAGTGAATGGTACTGGCACTGTGTGTCCTCTCCTTAGACGGGTACTGTCTCTGTCTTCTGGCACGCACCCAGTTTTCTTCCCAGACCAACATGATTCTGTATACTGTAAAGATCTCTTCCAGTTTCATTTAGTTCCCAGTATTCTTGCCATATTTTTTGCATTTTAATGACTGTTTTAGCTTCAGATTTACTTAGCAGAACTTGCATGTCAACTGACTTTGATTTAAGTGCTTGTTTTGCAAGAATATCAGCGTCTTCATTTTCCTCTACCCCTACATGGGCAGGAACCCAAACAAAGCAGACAGTCAGTCCCTTATGATACATTCTATACAGAGAATGAGGGATACTAAATACCAGATCTAGCCTACAGGACTTAATAGATTAAATACTGGTGAGCGCTACTCAGCTATCTGATGCAATGACCACCTTGCCTTCATTATTTTCTTCTACCTACTGCAATGCTATCAAAATGGCTATAAGCTCAACTGTATATACTGACAGATGATCTCTTTTAAAGGCCTATTTTGTTTGCTGGGATGTACATGGCAGCTCCAGTACGTGGTACAGGGGAGTCATCTTTCATCTGTGACTGAGACTAAAAGGTATTTTCTAACATATGTTACACTCAGTCTTTACATTTACACATTTAATCAGTTTTATTGAAGAATTCAAATGATGAAAAACTTTTATTTCAGTTTTTTTAGAGCAGGTTCAGATGTGACCATGCTACTGGGTTCCGTAGCTGGTGCCCACAGACATCTGTATTATAAAAATAGAAAGAAACAGATTAACTGTGGAGCAATGATTGAATTGCTGCCAGCAATGAGACATGTAAAATGTGAAACTGATAGATTAGTCACTTACTGAGTGGGTGTCAGTCTCCTCATTTAGAAATGAGACTTTATGTTTTTTGTAAAGATCTCTTTTTCTCGCGAATGTCATCATAACCCAGTCGGTAACTTTGGGAACCTGTGGAAAAACACTATTATGAGTATTTCTTTGTATAACTGACTTTTTATCATGTTTCAAGTGCAGGGCTGAAAATGTCTACTCACCAAACCGAGCAATGCTAATGCTGCACCCAAGTTCACTATGGTTGGTACAATTCCAAATTGTCCTGCCTGCAAGATAAATGAACCCTCAGGTATTGTCAAAGCAAAGAGAACACACACATTTTGCTGATGAAGTCATTGCAATTTCAAGATTTATTTAGGCCTCACAGTTCCAAATACAAGGACTTCAAACCGGATCCCGTATGCTTTGATTAATGTTCTAGTTTCCGCTCCATCTGGGGTCTTGTAGTATTTTGCAAACCTAAAAGCAGGGTTTTTAAAATCAAATTTTCAGCTTAATCTATTTATTAGTAACATTTACATTGACCCTCCATGATTGTGCACTGTAGTGGGGCACCTTGTTGTGGGATCATACAGTTGGGGTCTCACCCTGCTGTGTGGTCCCACATTAGATGCAGCACTTTACTGCACTGACTAGGCTTTCAATGCATTAAATTGTAGTTGATTGCATAGAATAGCACTTTAAACTGCATAACTTAACATCTTGCACTTTACAACAGACTTTATTAACTAGCTCATGATCTGCAGAGTGAAGCATAATGACTGTCTTCTATATTGTGTATTGTAGTATACCTTCTATTGTTTTATTATGTTGTCCTCTTTTGTATTGACCTTAGTAATGACCTGCCAGGGACTACAGATGGAAATTTATCTTCTGGCTAAATCCGGCATATTTATGTTGATGCAAAACTAAAATGTTCATTAATGTGCACTGTCCCTTTTAAAAAAAAAAAAGCATTTGTTGGAAATAGTTTCACCTGAAGTTGTGTCCAGGGGCCACATTATTGACAGGATTTTTATTGTCCAGCCTGCGGAAGCTGTATTTGGGGTAACACTTCCCTGCCCACCAGTCCAGGTCACAGCTCCAGTCAATAATAATACCTAGGACACCACCCTTTACAAACATAATTAAATGTTGAAAAACAAATTCACGATCCAATTTTGTGGAAGTGAAAGACAAATTTGACACCTTAACCAACTGTAGTTTCAAAGACTTGACAACTGAAATTTAACAGAGATATGAGATAAGGGATAAATTATACAGTGATGAACATTTTTTAAAATGGGTGTGTTATCCAGTATCTCACAAAAGTGCAGCATGTATAACAGTGTAAATGTGCTGTCCCCTCAAAATAACACATCAGACAGACCGCTGGCAACAAAAGTGAGTACACCCCTAATTGAAAATGTCCTAATTGGGCCCAATTAGCCATTTTCCCTCCTCTGTGTCATGTGACTTGTTGGTGTTACAAGGTCTCAGGTGTAAATGGGAAGCAGGTGTGTTAAATTTGGTGTTCTCTCTCACACTCCCTCATACTGGTCACTGGAAGTTCAACATGGCACCAAGAACTCTGAGGATCTGAAAAAAAGAATGGTTGCTCTACATAAAGATGGCCTAGGCTAAAAGAAGATTGTCAAGACCCTGAAACTGCAGCACGGTGGCCAAGATCATACAGCGGTTCAACAGGACAGGTTCCACTCAGAACATGCCACACCATGGCTGACAATCAGGTAAGCAGGTGAGGAGTACAAAGACAAGTGTGTCTTGCCTACAGTAAAGCATGGTGGTGGGAGTGTCATGGACTGGGGCTGCATGAGTGCTGCCGGCACTGGGGAGCTACAGTTCACTGAGGGAACCATGAATGCCAACATGTACTGTGACATACTGAAGCAGAGCATGATCCCCTCCCTTCGGACACTGGGCTGCAGGGCAGTATTTGCAACATGATAAAGACCCCAAACACACCTCCAAGACGACCACTGCCTTGCTAAAGAAGCTGAGGCTGAAGCTGGTGGCCACACAAAATGTGGGCGCATTTTGGACATTTTCACTTAGGGGTGTACTCACTTAGTTGCCAGCAGTTTAGAAATTAATGGCTGTGTGATGTGTTATTTTGAGGGGACATCAAATTTACACTATTATACAAGCTGTTCACTCATTTCTTCAGTGTTGTTACATGAAAAGATATAATAAAATATTTACAAAAATGTGAGGGGTGTACTCGCTTTTGTGAGATACTGTATTTCATTCTGGGCGTACCTTCACAGCCATGTCTTGAAAGTCCTCTCCGGCCTCGGAAACGATGTGTTTGAGACGGAATATTGGGCAGTGAGGGTCCGTTGTACGACTGAACTCACACCTCTTCAGGTAGGAGGAGTTAATATGTGGCAGTATGTTTCTTCTGAGGGAGCAAAGAAGATGTACAGTACATTTGATATAATGACACACAATAAAACAGTGTGTTTGCATATGCTGTACTGATAAGAGCACACGCCTCTCACATTACACATCTTTCTTTCACATTCAGAAACACTGACCCGTGAAAGTTGAACTTGGGGTATGTTATGCTGTTTTTGATCAGCACCGTGAAGTTCTCTGCTGCAGCCAGCAGTGCACGTCTGTGGGACAGGAAAACAACTTGGCAAGCCATATCTACATTATACTCTAACTAATTATTAACACTACTAAGGCAGTGCATATGTTCTTACTTAGGCAGCTTAGTGTCAATTTCAAGAGGGCACCATGAGAGCACTTCACATGTCCGGACAGTTGTGGTATAGTTCTCGCACAGCCCTGTCTGTATACCTGAGTGGAAAATAAATGTCAGGTGGTGTTTGCTGTACATTTACAGCTGATGTATTAACATACATCAGTCTGATGCTACTTAATGAGGAAGGCCTACCATTGCCTCGAGGACTGCTGTGGCCCTCTATACAGTCACAGTCATCTACACAAGTAGTTGATGGGTTTGGAAGCTGGAGGAGAAATGAGTGTTAATCTGTCAACTGTTTTGACCCCCTTAGCTAGTGGCAAGGTATACATCCATATCAGAATAACTTTTTAGTAGTCATTGGCTTGAGCAAATTGCTGTTTATCCATTTGTAACATTCTATGATTTCCATAACCAGAGGGAACCCCGGGTGCTACATTATAGAGAGTTCAGAAGTCACTTTATGCTACACAACAGCAGCCCTGGCACTCAACTAACTCAACTTTAGCAGGCTGGACGTGACGATGGTCAAAAACAACATGAGAAGATTTATGGTGCAAATGTCTTCATTTATATGAAGAGAAACAAAAAATTCAGCTGGCAGGTGACAATTTATAAATATAAAAATATTACAGAATATATTGCAGTAGTCAGCTTAAGTTAATTTTTTTGGGGGACAATGCACATTTGTTTTTTTCTATATTTAAATTGCCTGTTTTCCTGATGTGCATATAAACCTTTCTCAAAGCATTTTCATTTGTTAGTTTACATTTCTTGGTGCAAGCTATTTTACATTTTTCTGTCAGAGATCGCACGCCTGGTGGATGCATCGCAGTGGGGAATTGAACCCGGGTTTCTCACACCAAAGGCATGCGTCTTATCTACTACGCCATCACCACACCATGTTCTATTTTTCAGAACATTTTTAACAAATGCTTTTTACCATATTAGACTAAATTATTAATCTGTTTGTTGGGACAGTAATTGATAGATTAATCAATCATGCAAATAATCAGTGTTAATATATATAATAATAATTAGCTGTAACTCTAG